TGCTTGGGAAAATCATCAGGCAGAGCTTGCTGTTGGGTTTTAAGTGTGAAGGCTCGACCCTCCAACCTCCAAAACAGGGATCTTTGGGAAGTTTATATCACTTGAACTGCCCCACTTGATTGGACAACCCAGCACTCATGGTGCAGGTTTGTTGGCCAGCATCCAATTTGAGTGTTCTAACGATCAGTAACCCAAGTTTTCTTGACAGTTTGCACTGTGGCGATATTTGTTTTGGGCACCCTGAAACACTTTTCTGAATGCGTAGCAGGTGGTCAGACTCATTAACGATTGTTCCAGACAGTTCCCTTGTTCGCCAGCCTTGCATCTGTGGCCCGACAATGACCGGGCGGAACCTTGAGTTTTCGATAGTTTTGGGGAGGTTCCGCCCAGGCACTGGATTCTTGAGTCTAGGGCAAGCCAGGTTTCTTGGACAAACAGCTGGGAGGAAAAGGGTTGGGGATTATCCAGGATAGGCCTGTTGTGTTTAAGAGACCTGGTCTCTTGTGATTCAGACCTGTTTCAGACTTGTTTCAGAGTGGGTGTTTTGGGTGTTTCAGACTTACTTGTTTCTGTTTGAACCTTGCCAAATCCGTGGTGTTCGGGCAATTCCATCCCTTCAGCGGAGGTTTCATCTTTGACGGGTTTGGAAGATCTTTCGGAGACACGTTCCAGGGGATGGTTGGGCCTGGCCAGGCCTGCTGAGCTTGACGTTCGCTGTGCCTGCTTGTGATCGCCCGAGGGCCCTATAGAGGAATACATTTAGATGAGTTCGGGGATGCTTTTGCTCATTTCTGTTGTCTTAAAGCTTCCAAAGCCTTGGCTTCTCTTTCAATTTGGCCCCTAGCCCGGGTTCGTATTCATGGGGCTGTTGGTCCAAGGAGCCAGCCATTTGTAGACGGGGCACCGCAGCAAGGGGCTTCGAGCTTGTGTGTCAGACTGCGATCAAGTAGCGCGTAGCAGCCACAGAGAGCATTCATTACAGAAGGCCGCTGCAAGCAGGCTATGAAGACATTCAGTCTCCAGGTTGCCGTGAGCCGGCCCAGCTACATACATGTGTTTCCCAAGGCTGTCGGCTAGACGCAAGCCCGAGTAGCTTCTTGGCACGCCGCCGCCTGCCATGGTTGCGCGCCAAAAGAGCTGCAAGTGGCGGGTGCTGACTAAGAAGCCAGCGCAGCTGGACCGGGCCTATGCTCGCCTGCTGCAGAAGAAAGACGGCCGCGCGCTGGAAGACGTGACCCTCTCAGATCGGGAGATATTCTTGACATGGAGGAGGAGTGAGCTTGGAGCCCCAGGAGTCGTCAGGGGAGTAGCTTACAAGACAGCCTGGCAGCTAGTTCACTTGGCCCTGCGCGAGATCGCATTTAGGCTACAGCCTGTTGAAGATGCAGGGCCTGCTGAGTTACCGTCCGAGCAGGCGCCAGACGCAGCAATGGCCCCTTCGCCTTCACCGTCGCCCGCCCCAGCGACGGCGCCCTCACCTTCGTCGTCGTACGAGTCACTGGCTCATCGCACGGAGGGCCAGTTGCAGGTGCTTGTCGGCTTGTTTGGAGCAGCAGCTGGTCACGAGATCGTTGCTCGGGCGCTGTCAGTACTTGGCAGGTACCAGGAGAAGGGCCTAAAAGCGCCGCAGATTTCACCATACGCTTTGGTGTCTGCTGCGATTGCCCTTACGGGCTTGGAGGACGTGGACGAGAAACGCGTCAGGTACACGAAGGCATTGGGCGAGAGGAGAGCAATCTCATTGGCAAATCTGCGCCAGCAGGAGTGCCTGATTGTGATGACGATGCCTGTGGAAGGGCAAGCTGGGCAGGAGTTTTGTAGAGTTGAAAGGGGCTGAAGATGGCCCTGGACAGCATAGGCCAGCGTTAAAAAAGGATTGAGCGTCTTGATGTCTGAGCCGGAGTTGAAGGCCTTCAAGCATTTTCAGGGTGGGCCCAAATTAACATCAGTTCCCATATATGGACGCACTGGCAGCAGTCTGAAACCTCGTGGACGGTTTTAAGAGGAGTGAGAGGGGGACAGAAATGCGGAGGGCTTCCCCCGACTGCCAGAGGTGCTTGTAGCTGATGCGCAACTGCTGCCCACCCGCCCACCCAGGCCACAGCGTGGCAGACGACATTGGCAGCGGGGTGCCCCAAATACAGGCTGATCTGAGGCTTCTCTTGCCAAATCCACACTTGGGCCGTTTCAGGAAGGTTGCAGTGCTCCGAAAAAGAAGGGTTCTGAGCCATGACCGGCAGAGGCCTAGGTGGGAATGTTTCAGACATGTTTCAGGCCAGTTTCAGACTCATCGAACGAGGGCTCTTCTCTTTGCCGGTGTGGAACCTGTTGGGCAGTGGAATGAGCTTCTGAGAAATCAGGGGCCACGGCAAGTGTTAGGGGGAATTGAGTTCAGCCACGCACTTGCAGCCAGTTTCCAGCGAGCAACTAATCGCGAAGCACGTCTTGGTGTGGCAGATTGCGTCAGAGCGTTGAATGACACTGTGAAGCCCGGTGAAAGCTCCCAACGTTGAATGACTCCGTGAAGCCCGGTGCAAGCTCCCTGCAGAGGTTGGAAACTGCCGCTCTTTGTGGGCGAGGCGTGAGTTGGAGGGGAGGTGTCTTGAGCTCTCTAGCCCTTATTCTGAACTCTCAAGCCCCTTGCCCGGGGCGTTTGGCAAGGGTCTGAAACGGGTTTGAAGCCGGCATGGAAATGTATATTCAAAGGTCTGGGCGACTTCGGCCCAGAAAGGCCTCAACGAAGAATTGTAGACATTGCCAGTTGGTGGGGGAGTGAAGCTCGATCGCCCGAAAGCTGGATGTGTCCCTCAGACTTCGGCCCCAGCCCAGCAAACGGATCACTAAGGGCAACATGATTTTGTTATTTTGACCCGTGACGTCTCATAGTTATCCAGGGAATCCGTATAACTACCAAGGCCTTTGCCAGGGGTGTCTGAGAGGGGCTCTGAAGCGGGATTGAAGCCTGCCAAGTTTGACTTCGCACAGCATCCCGCCAATGGGCGAGGCGTGAGTTGGAGGGGAGGGTGCTTGAGCTCTCTGGCCCCAATTCTGAACTTTCAAGCCCCTTTCCCGGAGCGTCTGACAGGGCCTTGAAACGGGTTTGAAACCGGCATGGATATGTATACTCAGAGGTCTGAGCGACTTCGGCCCAGAAAGACCATCCCCCCATTAATTTTTGCAATCGGGGGGGGGCTTCTTGTGCAATTGCAGTTTCGATTTCTGTCGCTTTCGAGCTGGCTGGTTTTGAAGGCCAGCCCATCAGTATTGGCCCACCTGTCACAGATATGTTTTTCTCATCGGGGTTCGTTTTGGTAATTGTTGCGGTCCACTTGGGTGAGAATAATTGTCCCAGACAACCTTATTCCAGTCTTGTTAAAAATGACCACCCGTCCCTAATCATGGAGAATTCGAATGAATTCGAGGGGTTTGGGGAGCAGAAAGAGGTCTGGGCCAATTGTCGCAGGTGGCTGGCCGGACCTGTTGGCGGCTGGCAAGCGGACAAGTCTGGGGCGGGTTGCGTGCGCTTACGCCACGTCCCGCCCCAGATGCTCTTTTTTACGGGGCTGGATGGACAAAGGCTTATAGATTCCATTTCCACAGGCTGTTTCCGACCAGCAGTTTCATAGGTAGACAATATGCAACATATCCAATTTTTCGGCGGCGGGGGTCTGGATTTCAGAAATGCCCGGCTTTCCAGAGGTCTGGATTTCTTAGTTCATAAAATTTCTTAACATAATGCCCGACCGTACCCTAAATGGCAGCTGAAAGAGGGTCCCGGGTTAGAGGACAGTTGTCTTCTGGTAGGGTCCCTGTCAGGTTCCACGTGTTGTTTTTGGGAGGATCTTAAAGCTACCAAACCAAGGCCGTTCTGTCCGCGGGACCTTGTGGTGGGAGTCCATTTGAAAGGACGAGCAGGTTCTTACTTCCAGACCAAAGTTGCTTCTGCCAGGCTCCCAGCTGGAGGGCATGGCAAAGCATTGCAAAGACCCCATATTTTGTTTGAGCTCCTGGCCTACTTTGCGCAGGATCTCCAGGGGAAAACCAAGGATCCCGTAGGGAGGTCTAAATTCAGGTCTTGAAATGATGCGACATGTGCAAGCGTGCGGCGGGCTGAGTGCTTCCCTCGACTATCCTCACATAGGCGGAATGTGGTGGATTGGTATTTGGTGTTCGTGGACTCACTCACTCACTCGTCGCAACAGCTTCGAAAGCTGCTAAGCGTGGGCAGAAACGATTCATCAGCCCCTTCAGGGATCTTTTCAAGATACCTGGAAAGGTTCCGTGCCGATAGCACCAAGCGAACCAAATCATCAAACAATGCAACCGGACCGTGAGCCCCAAGCGTTGCAGTGCATGTAAGGACCTGTATGGACCAAGTGCCTACTACAACGGGTGTTCGTGGAATGGTAAAGGCAATCTGAGCCATACTGCTGCAAAGTGGGACATGCTTCAGATGACGCATCTCCTCACTGAATACATGTCGGAGAATTCAACAGCTCGCGTGAGCAGCGGTGAATTTGTCCTGTCGTCACATAGGGCACCACCAATTCATGAACTGTGAACCCAGTGGATGACACCAGAGTGTCAAAATTCGGGGACCCTAAAATGAGCGTGTGTGTGTGTTTCCTTTACGTTTTCCGTCTATCCAACCGCAAACAGGTTACCCTGAAAAAGCGCACCCCCCCCCAACATTGATGGTCCCTAGACCTTTGTGAGGACCAAGGTGTGAGATTGGAGGCTGGGCTTTCGGTTCCCCCGTACGCAGGTTGGGCAAGTTGAGCTACAGAGATGACAAGATGACAAGGATGTTGCAACAGTGCCTAGGGCTTTCTTCACCGTTTTGCTTTTCAAGAAACATATTGGTGTTCCAGGTCGGAGTGACTCCCAGAGCTCCAGCCGATTTCCGGTTTTCTGACGGGGTCTGGGGGTTGAAGCACTAAGCTGAATCCCGACATCGGCAGGTGCGGTCCGCCCCACTCTATGATACCTGGGGTTCCACAATGGCTGCGAGTAGCAAGGAGCCGCAAGAGGACGCTTTGCCGATCTCAGCAGACTGTCCCTCGTAAAACACAGAATTGAAGTTCAATGACTTCCTTCACATAGTGGTTCCTCTCTATGTAGAGACACATGTGCTGTGACCGTTGACAGGAGAGTTGCTTGTTTGCTTGCTTGCTTGCTTGCTTGTCGCTGTCAGTTTGGTTGGTTGGTTGGCTGGTTGGCTCTTTGGCTGTTTGGCTGGTTGGCTGATTGGCTGTTTGGCTGTTTGGCTGTTTGGCTGGTTGGCTGGTTGGCTGGTCGGCTGGTCGGTTGGTCGGTTGGGTGGTTGGTCGGTTGGTTGGTTGGTTGGTTGGTTGGTTGGCATGTCCGTGTTTGGTAGTATGGCGAGACAATACACACGCACAACACGCACGCACGCACGCACGCACGCACGCACGCACGCACGCACGCACAGACGCACACATGATTGACCCATGATTTGTAGAGCTTTGCTCGATACAATGAGGTTATCTTCCGAGGAGCGGGCTACCGTTTCATTTCTGCCTCTTAGTTCCTTTGAGCCAATCAGGAAGGAAATGGCGCTGCCCTCCCGCTTTGAAAGTCTCACGTCCAACAAACCCAGCCATTCAGGAAACCAATGTGTGCATTCGCAAGGGCCTTTCAATACAAAAAGGTTGGCTTTCTGACCTTGGGAAATTCTGGGATCCCTGGTTCCACTCAGCTGGTGCACCGCTTTACAGGTCTTTAACTGTGACAAAGAGCAGGGTCCCGCACCTCAAATGGAAGACCCAAGGGTGGAAAGTTGGTATTGGGTCTGTTTTTGTTTTTCTTCTTCAGGTAGCATTTTACCCTGGAAGGGTGCTGTCAAAACTAAACCCAGGTGTCTGCCCGCTGGCGTGACCTTCTACACGTTTGAGCAATACCTCAATTGGAAACAATAGGTGCTTACCCCATTGTGTGTTTTCCTACAGGAAGCCCACAAGGGAATGGCTACGTCTCAAATGTTCGCGACCCTGTTGGCTTGTTGCCGTTTGAGAAGTGACTGGGCGAGAAGTCGGGCTTTCAAACGGCAGAGGCTTTTATGGGAAATAGGTACTTGGACCCTTAGGGTTGTTATCAGGGCCTTTGAACACGAGCGCACAAAGTACCTTGTTCAACGCATCATTCGAACCACATCAAGAACACAGCAAGCGACCTGCTCCTCCAGATTCGTTTGCGTGGCCCTTTGTTGACTTGGACGTCAGCTTTTGCGGCTCATTTATCCCCAACACAATTTCGGCTACCAGCACCAACTATCCCCCAGGCCAAACGGATATAAACATCATCCCCGACATAAACACGGAAAAGCCCATCTTTCCTCGGGTCGTGGTGTGGGGTGAACATTCTCCCAGACGGGACGTGCACCCTCGCAAGGCCACGATCAAGCCGCCTCCTGCGCCGGTCGGCCATGCGAGGGAGCCCAGCTCTGCGGATGGACTGGGCCAGATGAAACCCTATGAAACTTGGGATAAGCCACTTGCTGCCTGCGTGCACATACTCACATACAGTATTAGCTTCACTTGCCAGTCCATTACTTGTGGTATGCCTATTGATAGCATGTACATACAATAGTTGTATGGTTTAGCTGCAAATGAACCTGCTCGCAGTAGGTGGGCAACCAAAACGGGGCATTGTGCGGACCTGCCCTTCCCAGGGAACATGGAACCTAAAGCAAGCCCTCTGGAAGATTGTGTGTTTTCCTGGTCTCGTTCCTCGACCTCTAGGAAGATTGTTTTTTCCTCTACAACGGAGCAAGGCCTGTGAGTGTCAGCTTTCAAATTTGCTTTTCCAAGGGTACATCACCTACAGAAGAGCTTGTTTGCTTGCTTGTTTGTTGGCTTGCGTGTTTTTTGTTTGTTTATTTGTTTGTTTGATTGTTTGCACATGTTTGTTGGGGCATGTTGTTTGCTTGTCCCTCTGTCTGTTCGTGTGTTTGACTGATAGCTTTTCTCTCTGTCCTTCTTTCTTTTCTTGTTCTCTCTCTGACTTTCTGTGTCTCCTTCTCCCTTCTTGTGTCTATTTGTCTGTTTGTTTGTCTCTCCGTCCGTCCGTTTTTATGTTTGTTTGTCTGTCTGTCTCTCCGTCTGCTCATCACGCAGGCACAGACATAGACGCGCATGTGTGACTGGAGGGCCAGTTGTGACCTCTACATTCAGCTGGCCAAATGAGTTTGCATTCGCATTTGCTCCTGGGTTAAATGGCCAATGATTTGTGCATTTCCCCAAAGGCAAGCCAAATGGGTACAGCTTTTCTTTTTTTTGAGGCCCCCTATGCAGTGTCCAATCTATTAATTGGGGGGGTTTTGTTTAGTGGGACATCAACCCACTTTTGCAGTGGCCCCGCCCCCCACACTGGGGTTGATTAATCTGGGGTCAACATTATGTGTTGCCCTCCGGTCAACGTACATGGAACCCACCATAAATTCCATCAATAAACTGATGATCAACCTGGGGTCGTAACATGACTAAGTCCCCCAGTGCCCTTTCTCACCCTTTTTTGGGGGAGGGTTCCCCTGCTAAAATAGACAAAACAAAAAAAAGTGGGTGCCAACTTATTCCAAGCTCTCCACTGGAGGATCTAGAATGTCACCGGATGAATTGAACGGCTTCTAAATTCACAAGCATGATTTGGGCACTCATCAACAGACCAATTGCATTTAGGATGTCTGGCCACGGGCCTGAATGGCAATGCGTCAAACCAAGTGTAAATACTTGGGGACCCTCTGACCCTCTATTGCTGGTTTCTCCTGAGTTGCTTTTCAATGCCATCCATCCTGGCATGGGTGGGAAAAGTGGTAATGAAGGATTCAATTTGTTGGATTTAAATATTCAAACATATTAAAGTGGTTTAATAGAAGTTATGTGTTATATTTATGTTATTCGAACACATACACATGCAATATTAGCAACAAATTACATTCATTCAAATAAACATACATATATACATACATACGTACGTACGTACGTACGTACGTACGTACGTACGTACGTACCTACATACATACATACATACATACATACATACATACATACATACATACATACATACATACATACACACACACACATACACACACACACACACATACATACATACATGCATGCATGCATCCATACATACATACATACATACACACACACATACACACACACACATACATACATACATACATACATACATACATGCATGCATGCATACATACGTACGTGCGTACGTACCTACCTACCTACATACATACATATATACATACATACATACATACATCCATACATACATACATACATACATACAGACACACACATACATACATTCATACATACATACATACATACATACATACATGCATGCATGCATGCATGCATACGTACGTACGTACGTACCTACCTACCTACCTACATACATACATACATACATACATACATACATACATACATACATACATACATACATACATAGATAGATACATACATACATACATACATACATACATACATACATAGAAGGTTGATTGTGAGAGATCTCTAGACATCCCAGAAATGAGGCGAATATATCACACCTGTGCGTGTTCTCAAGTCTTGTGTTTTGGCTTCTCGCATGTGTACCATGGGTTTTGTTGATGTGTTTTTTTTCTTTTTCTCCTGGAGAGCCGTTCTTGAACATCAGTTGAGTTATCCACGGACACATCTTGAACATAGAGCTGTCTTGTTACCACTCGGTAGCCAAGAAAAGCCTATACTCACGAGAGCACATCTTGACTGGGAAAGCACTGCAATGACCCTGATATTTGATAAATTCATATTTGTAGTTTCTGGATAGGCAAATGCACGAGATGCTTGACCTTACCCCGCAAGTCACTTCCAGGGCGTCTCGTTTGTTCGGCCGCCTTTCCAGGAGGCTTGCGTCGAGGGCATGCCCTACTTCGGCATAGACACACGCCCTAAAGGCAGAGGGGGTGAAAGCCGCAGCGCACTTGCATATCTGAACGAATCTAATATGAACAGGACTCACGACTTGCACACATTATTTCCCATGACCCTGCCTCAATTTGGAATCAAAAATCCCTGGCATATGATTTGTTTAAGCCCTTACTTATAGTATCAGTTGAGCACCGCCAAATAGCCCAGAGAGTCATGAGTACGCTCCGAGAACCGGTTCTCGAAAAGGAGCTTCTCAGACACGCACGCCAGTGTAAGTTGCACCCCAGCTGGCTGGAGCAGTGCACCTGACATTGGCCCAAACGAGTGTCAACACACACACCATCACGCCCTGAGAGCGCTTTGTCGGCCAAAGGTCTTCCCGAGAGCATCTTGCTCCCGAACAGTTTCGCTGAAGGTGGTTCCGAAAAGCCACTCTCAGCAGGGTTTGGACCCTTAGGGTAGTGTTATGCACCAACAGCCCTGGGCTGCTTTGGAAGTGTGAAGCTGATGTTTGTGCTTGATCACGCATGCAAACTGTAGCCAAATGGGAGTGAACCCGCAATGGGTCATCAAAAAGACCCGCACTCGCTCGGCCTAAAGGCCCTGCATGGTGCCAATGTGTAGCGCCTTCCGAAGCCAGATCGCTCCCATTTGTGACATGTAGACCAAAAGTGTTGGCCATTGTCAGGTTTCAGTCCCGCAGGGTCGTTTCCTGGTTCCAATCATTCAGCAGCACCTTGCTTCTTTGTTCCCCGTGTTGAACTGAATCCCCGCTCAAACAGGCAAGCCAGTTTCTGGTGTTGGTTTCGGCGTGGTCTCAAGTGCTTCTGGCGTTTGTTTTGAGCGGGCCAGGGGTTTTGCACTGGGTGTGGTCGGTGCTTGTGGTGCCGAGTGCCTTGAGTAATGACTGGGGTAGACTTAGGATACATGTTACATTTTGCCAGTGACTCCATGTGAAGCAAGCAATAACATATACATTCTATAACTGGGCCTAACTCTATTCATGATGAATTACCCGAACACCTTGACAAACACGCTGGACGCATCCGTGGCGCTCACCACACTCGACTCTGAGCGCCAGCCCAAAAGGGCACGGCCACGGGAACTGCAAACCCAAAGCAGACAACACAAGCTCACTGTTCACAAGAAGCTGGTTACACCCACTCTGCTTGGCAAAAGTCGAAGCAGAACAAACTTGACTCCCTACAGGTTGTCCCCTACAGTAGCTATCCAGGTTCTAACCACATGCCAAAAAGGGAAATAACCTCATAGTTGTGGGGTGATATCCTTTCCTAGGGCCAGACCACCCTCAAAAAACTGGGAAGCAACCCTAAGGCTTCTTTGAGGGTCCATGTGGATCAAAGATTTATCCGACGCCAGGGCCAAAGCTGCAGGTGTGGACGGCCTGGACGGAGGCTTGATGATTTGCGACTTTGACCAATTTTGCTTGCCTTGCCGAGAAAGGCCATGCACCAAACATGTTATGTGCAGTTAATTTTGGAAGGCCAAAAAGCATGCTTGTTTCAGAAGCGCGGAAGCCTTGGAAGATCAACTTGCTCTCACAATGCGAGTGAGCGGCTGGTTTTTTTTGGGAGCTGCTAAATAGTCCAGAACGTTTAGTTTTCCTAAAGTGAAACCAAAAGAGGATGGGTAATGTTCAACGTGCTCTTAGATGTCACAGTGAGCGAAAAAGTTGCTCCAATGAAGCGCAACTTCTGTGAGTGGCAAGTGGCCACATCTCAATGTGCAGGCCCCCCCTTGTGCAGCCGGGCGGCAGCCGGCGACACCGCAGAGGAGGAAAGTAAACATGGGGCGAGGGTAAAAGGGTAACATAAGCGCCAGTTACTTTTAAACCTTCAACATAGGTAACTCCGCGCCAGTTGCCGGCCGTTCTAGACTACGATTTCCACTCCATCCGACTGGAGAATGTTCGAATGACAATGTTGTCACTGGGACCCAAACAGGTAGGCTTTATCAGTTGCGATAGGATGAATGATCGGATTTGCAAGGAAAGATTTGATTTGGACATGGGCGCATCAATTTGGGAACACAGTTCTTTACAGAGGTTTCCTTCAAGGCTTCATGCATTTCAGCAGCTTCATGCATTTCAGCAGCTAACATCCAAAAAGCAGCCCTGGCAGCAACCAATGTGCGTTTGGCTTGCTGGCTCGTAGGAGGAAATGAGGGAATGACACCTCAACCAAGCACTTGTTTGTTTCTCATACAGCTTGTCAGTACGGGTCCGTAGTCTTCCAAGGACCCTGACAATCAGGCTTCTTGTATTTGTCCTGTTCGTCTCAAATGAATCAGCCAAAGGCAATCAAATGTCAGGGCCGGGTCCCTGGAGATCAACGGGTCATGGCCATTTCCCAATGCCTCCCTACTGAGAAACAGCGAGTTGCGGGCGTCAGGAGCGACAGGAACCTGTACGACAGCCCACGCTCGACCCCCTCAACCCCGCCATCGCCACCTCCAGCGCCACCTGAGGCAGGGCTGGTTGCAATCTACTTCTACGCAGGACCCTCCCGAGGTTGTTGAGAACAAGAGTGGTTTCAACAACTTTCAACAGGTGGTTGGCCCAACCCTCCAGAGATCAACTGCAAGTCACAAAGGAGTCCTGTAACGCACGGAATTGGCCGTGTTCGTTTGAACACGGCAATCAGTCGTTGGCCCAACCTGACCCAAGGCGCCCGACTTCGCCCCGTGGGAGTGGCCCGAGCCGGTCGCGCCCCCCGAGCCGGTCGCGCCCACGCCGGCGCCGCTGTTCGCGCGGGCGGACTTCAGGCATCGCACCGCCTCGGAGCTGTTGGCGGAGGTTCTTGGGGCCTTCCCGCCCAGCTGCTCGGAATGTGTGGTGCTGTGGACGAAATCCATTTCGCACCACTTAAGGCAGAATTCCTGGAATGGTTTGATTCCCCCGCAAATACCAACAAACAATGGTTTCCCATGGTTTCGAAGTGGTGCAGGATTTTGTCCATCCACCGTATGTCTCAACATTTGCCATGTGCCTCTGACATAAAAGTTATCACTTCAACTCTGATTGACTCAACACCCCAAGGAATAAACAACATAAATCCGCAACCTACATTGAACAACATATCCACTGTTTCTTTATATTATTTCAATCACCTTGGTTTTCCTTGTGGCCAATGCATCCCGTTTCTAGGGTTGGCATCATACCCGGAATAAAGTGAGTATATTTGGCCTTAAGGTGTAAAACATGTACAATGATGGTAGAACATATGGGGGTTCTCAAAATAGTGGTCCTCTAAAATGATGTTCATTTCAAAATTATCAGCTAAAAGGGAGCCGCCAGTCGAAACTTCCAGCTCGTCAGCGTGTTGGCCCTGGAATTCCCCACAAGCGGCATACAGATCGGACAAGGCAGGCGTTTCCCAAACACTTTGAGAGGTCCTCATATCACCATGCTAAATTTCAGGTTGATTGACCAAGGACCGCCGGCACCCGCGCCGGAGCCATCCATTCCCCCAGAGCCGGTGGAAGGTCGACGTGTTGCTGCGAGCAATCCACAGCCTGTGGAAAGGCAAGGCGCGAGGGAGAGCCTTCACTCTTGGCATGTTTTCTGTTTTACTTAGTTTTGTTTGTTGGGAATTTTCGGATTCTTGTGGATTCTTGTCATTTGTAGTTGGCTGCAAGCAGCAAAGTGTTTTGCTAGCATACAAAGGGTTGGTAAGGAGATCCGAGCTGCCAATCCGCGCGCCGCCTCGGGAGCGACTGATCAGGCCCATGGATGCATCAGAGCCCCGGCTTGCTGTTGGATCACCTTGTGTCTCAGTCTGTTTCGCATTCGAAAGGACCAACTGCATGATTGTCGTTTGTATCTTCCATTGCTTTCCAGAGGATTCCCTGCTTCGAACCCGTTTTTTCTGGCCGCTGATTTCCTCTGAGGAGCCCTCAGAGCCCGAGTTCTTCATGGAGCCCCCGGATTTTTCACCGGAGACGGTGCCGACGCCAAGGACGACGACACCAAGGACGCCCAAAGTGACTTGCCAAGGACAAGCACGGGAGTCTGTTTTCTAGACCTCCATGGCGTTGCCTTTGATTTTTTGGGGAACAGCCTCTTTAGAATCAACCAATGACCAAGAAAGGAATGCCTCTTTTTCTGCATATGCCCTTCCAACATCGTGAAAGTGAATGATCGGAGTGTTGAGGACCACCATCCTTTTGAAACAGGCCGCTTGGCCACGTCCATGTTGGTCGGAAACATGGGATATGAGATCGTCCATGATCCCTTTTTGTGAAGGCCGGCCTCCGTAAATATGAAAGCTGTGGACCTTTTCTTCACACCCCGGCCTATATATAAAGGGAGAGGAGCAGGTTGCGTTCAATCCAGTTTCGCAACCGACTTCTCGGTCCATTCCCTAGCTCGCGTCGGCTTCCAAAAGTCGCATAGGACGATCATGTTCGATGGGATTCTTACTTGCTGCATTTGTATCGTGGAATCTTTGTTTTTGGTATTTGCTTGCGCCATGGACAATTCCGCGCCTTCATACGACCCTGACGCAGACTCAGAACCTTGACACCATTCTCACGGGGATCAGCCCATTGCAAGCCGAGACCTTCGAAAGGAAGCCTTGGCTCTTTCCATTGTCTTGTTTTGGTGCATGGCGACTAGGCAACAACCGTGTTGACTTGGCTTGCACGCGTTGCAAGAGTTGAGCAGGTCGGGCCCCCTTTGCTGGAGCACCTTTGGCTTGAAACTTGACATGTTGACTTCCCGTTCTCTCTGGTTTGGAGGTCCATTGTCAATCCCAAGATAAGGTCAACTCCGAACGTCGACAGGTGACGCCCAATCCGAAGGGCCGCCTGCGGCGCCCATCCTCCGCCCGGGAGCGGCAACGCCAGGCAGGGCGGCGGGGCCTCGATGAGGGCTGGGAGTTTTAGGACTCCTTTTGGGGGAAAAACACACATATGGTCACTTTTGATTCATTTGGCTGTGGCTCAAAAACATGAACCAGAATGGCTCCTTGGTACATGGACCCCAAGACTAAACCTGCCTAACCCTAGCTCTTTCATTCTGAGCCGCACCCAGTTGCTTTAATAATAAAGCCTATACCTGGCAGTGGACTCCATTCTGGCAGCAATCGCCTATCTCCATTTGTTCCGCGGCATCCAGTTGGCAGTGAGTGACAAGGGCCTTCCCCTTTTCCACCGTTCGGGTGATTGGGCAACTGGGTAACTGCGTGTTGTCTTAGGAAGCCCAAAGGGTGTCAAGGCAGGGGCCACCCGGGCCACCCATTTTGAGGCAGGGAGCCACATCCGGAGGCCGTTGCTCCGCGGCCAGACCTGGGCCTGGCGGGATCCCCTGCCTTGCGGCCCACACGGCAGCCGTACGCCCGGGAAGGCGTGGGGGAAGCTCGGGCCGAGTTGTCTGAGTAGTTTGCTTGTTTGACGCTGCGTGTTTGTCGTGTTTGTTTTTTGTTGTCGATGTTGTTTTCCGGGTGGAACTTGGAGGCAACCAGAAGAACTCTATGTTCAAGCAAACGGGGGGGCGTGTTAATGCAATGCTTAAGTCAGTACTTGGGCGGTGCTGGTTTGTAGCTGAGACAGGTGCCATCATCAAGTTGGAGTTGTCAAAATACAGGCCCCTTGATTGGGAAGCCAGGTCTTTTTTTTAACTGCCTTTCGAACGGGGTTCCCAGAAACGGCCCAGGGTCCCCATTTTGTCACGGCTCAGATCAGTTGGCACACAGGGAGGAGCGGCATTGAAGGGTTCCACCTCCAAAGCTTCGTGTGAGAAGAAGCCAAATGCTCTTATCAAAGCCGGTTATGAAAAAGGTCTCTGTTGCTTGGCCATCCTGTTCCCCAACAGATCGTTAACGGCGGTTCCCGGTGTTTAGAAGTTACCTGCATCCACCGCGGAATCAATGGTCTCCCTGCCATTGCACAGACACATTGGCGGGTAAAGCGGCATGGCCTTTTCGCATGCAGCCAAGGGGAAGGAGTCACGGGTTGAGCCCTTTTGTATTTACACAGGGCTTGCAATCTAATCAACGGGCACCAAACGCCTTTTCAGGCTGCGATTCTCAATCAGGACAAGCCGCCTGCCCACTGGGCAAGTGCGCAGTGGAAGTCGCGGGCTCTCGAATTTGCTTCGAAATGGGGGCACGCAAATGGGTTGGCTTTACAGCATCCTCAGGCAGCGTGCCTTTGTCCAGCCTGGTTTCTGGCCGACAGGAACGACAGGACTGAGACGATGTTGATATCTTTTGGCAGCGGTTTTGGACCAGTTTGCTGCAAGGCTTATGATATCCTATGCCTCCCGTCCTGATTTGTAGGTACTGTAGCTCTTTGCGTTTCTTGGAATGCAATCATTCGCAAGGTGCAGTGCAACTATTGGCACCACTTCTTTTTGGCCCAGGCCAAAGCGGCAACCCCTTGCTGTGCGCTGCTCGCCCACATTTGCGCTGTGCTTGATGCCAATCCTGAGAGCCAATTGGAGATGTACCTCAGAAACAGTTGCAATTGATTTATTTGTTGATTGGTTGGTTGGTTGATTGGTTGGTTGGTTGCTTGATCGATTGATCGATTGATTTGATTTGATTTGATATGATTTGATTGGATGGATGGGATGGGATGGATGGGATGGATGGGATGGATGGGATGGATGGGATGGATGGAATGGATGGGATGGATGGGATGGATGGGATGGATGGGACGGATGGGATGGATGGGATGCATGGGATGGATGGGACGGATGGGATGGATGGGATGGATGGGATGGGATGGGATGGGATGGGATGGGATTGTGTATGGTGGATGGGTGGATGGATGGATGGATGGATGGATGGATGGATGGATGGATGGATGGATGGATGGATGGATGGATGGATGGATGGATGGATGGATGGATGGATGGATGGATGGATGATTGGATTCGATTGGATTCGATTGGATTGGATTGGATTGGATGGGATGGGATGGGGTGGGATTGGATGGATGGATTGGATGTATGTATGGATGGACGGATTGATGTGTGTTGATTTGATTTTATTGGTTTGATTGGTTTGCTTGGATTGATTGATTTGGTATGGTTTGGTTTGGTTTGGTTTGATTGATTTGATTGATTGACTGGATTGGATTGGTTTGGATTGGATTTGATTTGATTTTGTTTGATTGTTTTGAGTTTGATTTGATTAGGGTTGTCATCCCAGTCTTTGGGCCTTTGGTGGAATCTCCTTCATCTCCAAGTGCTTTTTCTTTTGTGCTGCGGTTGCGTTGGGTTCCACTGCAGGAGGTTGCGCCAGATGCGCCTTGGCCATTGAGCTAACTTCGGAGGTCAGGGCATTGGTGCCCCTAGTGAGGCCTTCTGAACCGGGTGCTCAATGGCAAATATTTATGTGTGTTGGAATGTAACCAACGGGAAACCACAGGGAATGGGTTATTCTTTTACTTTTCCCGGACATATTTGTAGGAACCCCATGGAGTGGGCGGGGGTTGTGGTACGATTTGGTTTGTCAGATTTTCCTTATCGGGCACTGGGCAAAACCGGGCTCAATTAACTTCGCAGTAGGCTTTTTCCGGTTGATTTCCCATGTCGACCGTGCTGGGTCAGACAGCATGCCTCAGAAATGGTACATCCAGATGTTGGCAACACCACAGAGTTGAATCGTTCAATCCCCTCGGTTCAACATAAACGGAGCCCAAAAGTGTAGAATCCTCTTCAACGGGGGCCCTTCACAAGCGTGAAAGGGGCGTCGACAGGCGATGCCTTCACATGCGTCGAGCTTGCCTTCCTCTGAGCGAAGGGGCTAAGGCGGCTAAGGGTTGATGCTTGTGAGTGGGTTTGGCGATAGGCCACTGGCTCCAATTTGATGGGTGCTCGCTTTTCCCTATTCATTCAGAAAATTACATACTTACACATTCTGCGGATCATGATTGAATTTGGTTGCACCCCCGTTCTAATCGTGTAGCCCCTTATGTTATACCACATGAGAAGTTCTCAATTGAAGCGCCGTTGGGCACCAAGGAGCTGTGGCAAGCAGAGCTGAAGGCCCCGTTGGCGCTTTCGTTGGTGAGCTCGCTCCTTTCCCCGACAGTGTGCCTCAACATAGGGTGATTTGCACGCCAAGATGATCGATATCCTTTGGTTTCCTTTGAACCTAACTTAAAAGGGTGCCCTCAAACCACCAACACACACACACCCACAACAGGGCAAGTTAAAACAAGCTCTACCAAGCAGGCGAGCGCCACAAGTAAAAAGGGGGGGTGCCACAAGCTCTACCAACAAGCGGGGAGTGGGGGGGGGGAATTGGGTACAGTGCCCCAGTCGGATGGTGTTTAGCGCTTCCCTTCAGGAAACAGACATACACGCGGTTCTATTTCCAGACAGTCCAAAGTCCATTGACCAGTTAGATGCTTGGATGCCGCAGTTTGACGCTTGTTCGCGCGTGGACACCAATATCTCTCGTTTGAAGAGTTGTAACTGCGTGGTTGGTAGGGCGTCCATGGTGATTCTGTGAATGTGCTTTGGGAGTAGGATACTCAACATTGCGTCTATGTCTCGGCATCAACTTTACGGCTCACAAACTCCGACAGGTGCAAGCTGCTGTTGCATGCTTGCGTGTGCCAGACAGATTCCCGGGACTGATTGGTCAATTTCGAGATGCCGTGCCAGTTCCTACTTCTGACACACGGCCGTTTCTGTTGCGAGACCTGGGAAGAACTACATAAACTGAGAGACCGTTGTTTCGAGCCTCTACATGTCTTGGTCTAGACGGAGCACACGTGAAAAGTAAACACTGCAAACATATTGCTCAATGTTACAATGGTCAATCACCACCTTCAGACGGTTGTTTTGTTGGAAGGCTTCGCGCCAAGGCATTGTTCTCCCTTTCAAATGAGGGAAGCAGGTCCTGCGAGATCCAGGTAAAACGTGGTTCACTCTGCGCTGGGCCTTTCCCTGCAAGGTCTTTTTGCGCCGCGAGAATCTGGAAGACCTTCACGGCGTGCTTCGCACCTTGGAAAAGACATGAGCTATAGTCGGAAAACATGCGATTCGTGGGCAGTAAGCGACAGTCCCAACCATAAGTTTGTGCAGCCTCTTGTTTTACACAGATTTGGGTAGACCTTTTGAAGTTACCGGGTTTGATTTGACTCACTTGGTACCCAAACTGTATTGTCTGTCGCCTTGCGAGTCAAAGTGAGCACCGTTTGGGTAGGGATTTTGACCCTTTCAAGCTCCAAAACCATTCGCAGAGGGTACTCGGACCTTTTGGGATGGGCCCATTTTTGTTGCTGGTTATGTAGCTTGTGGAGCTGGAGTATGCGCCCTGATGAGTCAGCTCCAAGAGACAAGGTGCGAGGTGTGTGCCGGCGCTCACGTACGCCAGATGTGAGCAATGGCCAATATTGGCGACATGGGGCACAATCACCAAATGTCCACGGCACTAGGCGCAAGAAAATGCAATCATTGTTGACCTGGTTCATTGAGATGCGCGACTCACTTTTAAAGTGAGTTTGCAGTTTCCGAAAGGACGGGGTCTCATCTCCGAGTGGCCCGATTTAAACGTGTGAGACGCAGGGTGTTAAGATCTGAAAATGACTGACTGGGTCAACCTTCACGGGTTCTAACAATTACAATCAACTTTTCTTTTTTGTTTAAACGACTTTTTGTTTAAAGGACGTTGTATTTTCGGATCAGACTATGAACCCATGGAATTCATGAGTCACCCGAGCCGGAGGCCACCGTGTTTTTCCCCAGGCTGGCTGCGGGCTGCGCTCGCCAGATCGCTCGCTCGAGAGGCGCGGAGTTCCCGGAGCTCACGCCGCAGCAGCTGGCGGAAGTGCCAGCGCAGCGGCTGCAGCAGCTGAAGGCGAGGCGCCGAGGTGTTTGCAAAGGACCGAATGTCCATGACCCAAATGGGGCACCATGGGGCACCCTTTGTTTCTGGTTGACTTTGAAGGGATGGACAAAAGGAAAAATGGGTTCTACCTGTTCTATGGGTTTCCCCATTCTCCCATTCTCTTCACCCATATAGTCTTAAGGAACTGTGAAGCACCCAAATGGCCATGGGTCCAAATGGAAATCGTACCCCCAGTGAACATCCCAATCCCCACTCAAATAGGTTCTAAAATGCGTGGTGCACCTGCCCCAAAATGGTACCATTGGTTTTGACTCATGACCCAAGTTGGCTCATGACCCCTTTAGTTTGGGTAATGACCCCATTTTCTCTACTTGTCATGGAGAGTCCGGCTTGCGAATGTGAACTTTGTTCGAGGCACCCCCAATTTTGCATCCAGACTGTGCCACATGGTTCCTCTTTTCTTAGAGGAGCTGTCTATTAAACAATCAACCATGGCTTTCCCTTGAAGGAACAGATGCCTGGCTCCAGATCGGAGTGATTCCCAGACTTCTTTTTGGAGTTTTCACTTGAAATCAACTAAAAAAGTTGTTTTTGTTGCTGGGTTTAGTTTGGTTGCAATCAATAGCTGTATATCGGTTTTGGGTGGCTCCATTTTTTGTTCAATTCTGTTTGGTTTCAGTTTGGCTACTGGAGAATCCTTTGGCGTCAGTTTGGTTCAGCATGAATGGATTGCACTGGTTCACGCTTGGGTACTTTGCATCTACCAGTGGAATCTAGCAGTTTGTCCAAGTGACACGAAGTAAATTTAACCCAGCTAGAGTGGGGGGGAATAGCAGTGAAAAAGCAAACCGTATTGTTGTAATGTCTATCGTCAAGAGTCGCGCATTTCCTCTAAAATGGGACACCTCCCTTTTAATCAACCGGATGGGCTGCCATGAAATAACACACAACACCTTTTGTTAGAATCATGTTGGGTTTCGAACCTGAAAGATAGGGATTGTCTGAAGAAACTACACAAAAACGGTTCCTATTTGGTCGTCAGACATTGTCCTGGCTCCTCTTTGTGACTCGAAATAGGCGACATGTGTTGTTTTTGTCGTCGGAGGGGACAGGGTGGGGAGGTGGGGGGTGGGCGGCTGAGACCAATCAAAGAAACTTTGTCGTGAACATCACATTATGATACTATTCATATACTTTCTACTGCAGTCCAAGCCAAAGGAATGACATTGGGCACACACACACACACACTCAAGTACATTGAGGGAATGAGGGCTAGTCAGCAAAGTCCAATGCCATCGAGGGACACAATGCAAACTGACTGTAGCTCGTGTGTCAACCTCCAAACCGGTGGTTTCCTATTGGTTCCGAAAAAGGCGGTCCAAATAGTTTTGACAAGGCAGCAGACTAGGACCGTACACATGCTCGAGCATGTTGTAACAATGGGGCTCCATCTTGTGCGTAGCCCCAAATCGAACCTCATTTGCTATCCATGTGCGCTGCGTATATATATATAATATGTTTCACCCAATTTGTATTTTTGTTTATACATACGGCGTATTGACATGATATAAACACCAGACAGCATATTGTCTCAGCCAAGCAATGGATAGGTCCTACCTAACAGATGCCCTGGTAATATTGTGTATTTCCACATGCTCGTATGAGTGCATGCACATGTATATAGTGTGTATATATATATATAGATATATAAGTTGACAGTCATATGTATATATATATATATACACAGTACCGCCCCCCGGGACCCACCCAAAACCAGAACAACAACTAAAAGCACCGCGGAAAGTAACACGGCTTTTTAGAGCCCGCGGTAGAATCACCGCTTTGTATGGCCTGTATGGGGATTTGTCACGATCAGCTCTGATCGCGCTGTGCCAGCATCTTGGCAGCTCAAAAACGTTTCATGCTGACTTCATGCACTCTGAGCTTCAGCCGCCGCGCCTCTGATTGCTGCTGTTGGACACCTGTCAAGAGCTTGAGCGCCACAAACAACAACCCGCCCGCGGACGCTCTGCTTCTCCCTCCACCACGACCGAACATGTGACACGCGGCGCCACTTGATTTGCTTCTTCACCAGAAGCTTAGCAGCAGTACTCCAAGCGTGGGCACCGCCACAAAACAGGTCTGTGCGCTAGCGCATTGAAACAACAGCTGCGGTTCTGCCCACGAAGAGCAAATCGTCTCTGGAGTGCCTGGCTCTTCCACCCCCACCCCCGACCGCATCACTGAACCTGTTGCGAAGTCGCTCTTGCAAGTTGCATGGTAGCTGTACGGGCTCCTAGGCCGTGTCACCAACACCAATGGCTTCTGGAAGACAGCCCCAAACCCGAAAAAACAACAAAAGAAGGCCAGGGTCCTGCGGAAGATGGGCTCCAATCCAGAAAGAAACCGAAGAACCTTAAAATAGCAAGTAGGATTCCTCCAGAAGAAAGGGCACCAAACCCTCAAACAGAAAAAAAGGGAAAAAACAACATGACACACACAACAAACTAGGGTCTATGAGGCAGATGCTGGAAAAAGCTCTTTTTGTGCGTTTAATTGTTTTGAAATGGTTCTTCTATCTTCTGTTGTTTTTCTGTTTTTCCCCAACAGCTGAAAGCTTTGGGGTCTCAGCCCAGATAGGCTCCGGGGTGGTCCGGGGCGTATTTGTCCACGAGAGTTCCACCAGGGTTCCACCAAGGTTCCACCGTGGTGCGAGCACTAAAAAGAGCACCGCATGCTGATATCACCTGAGCTTATTTTCTGGTTTGCGGGGCCTTCTTCTGGAGGACATTTTTTTGTCTGGGTTTTCGGGTTGGGGGGGCCATCTTCTGCAGCACCTCTTTTTTGTTATTTTCTTGTCAGTTTGGTTTGGTAATTATCATCGCTCGCGATTTTCCCACGAGCGCGCATGCTACCAGCCAAATTGCTGTGCAGCAGCCTTTAGCCGCGTGCTTGGGAGAGCGTTGATGAGCGCATCGCAGAGGAGATCTTCCCGGCGACGCCGTGCCTGACCTTGCGGTCCACACGTTGGCAGCTATGCGACCTGTTCTGGGTGAATATCTGGCAGGACCTCCGACGGGTGCGGCAGAAGTTGCTGGCGGCCACCCAAGACAGACATAGCAAACAGCTTGGCTACCTGCAGAATGAAGCACCCAGCCTGCTGCGCGCCGTGTGCTGTCCTTGGGGGCCACGGTGCGCCATGCGCCTCAAACTTTGCATTGCTGGCGGCCAATCTGGCCTTGGGGCTCCGATCCGAGCGACCCGACCTTGAGCTTCGCTGCGTTCATGCGGCGGTGGTGGGTGGCAGCCGCGCTCCCGAGAGCTGATTGTTGAAGCCAGCGCCAGTCAGCGCTTCTTGCTGCTGTAAGAGCGGCGCTACTGCCTCCTCAAGCTCAACATGCCCTTCATAGTTTTCGAGTGCCACGGAGCTCTGCGAGCCAAGGGTGGCCGCGCGGAGGTTCCTGTCAGGGGGCGGTGCCCAAGGGACGCTTGGCTAGAGCCAGACTTTGCCAACCTCTGGACCCGCAAGCCTTTCGGTCTTGGATTGTTTTTCATTTTTCCTGCTTTCTCCTGGGGTTGGAGAAGGCCTTCCACCAAGCATTTGTCCACACCCGCACCTTCTAGAATTTTTGCCTGCCTCTTAAAAGGAGTGAAAGCCAACAGCAGTTCAGGACAAACACAGTTTCAGTTTGATTGGTTTACAAGATGTTAGCTGCGATGCTTGGCGTTGCAGAGGGCTTTCACTAGACTTCAATTTTGTATTGAGTCAGATTATAAGTAGGCACTCCTTTCCAGGTGGAGACGTGGCTATAGTTTGGGGGGTGCCCCCGAGCACTAACAGTTAAATAAAGCCATTTATACATAATACCTCAGCAAAAATGACCACCAGCAAGCCCAAATTGGTTTTGGGGAAGCACGCCCCACCAATTTTAGGTTGCGTATTTGTTTGGTCTATATGATGATGCAGTGGAGAGTAGGGTGATGTCTTTTCATGCCCAGGCCCAAATACGGTTCTGTCCCTACTGGTTTCTAGTGCTGCGCTTTTGGGGTTGTCACTGGACTGTAGGTGCATTAGGATTTAGGAGACCTAGGAAAAGTTTAAAGCTGGTTCAGGAGTCGTAAACATAGACAGAGACATAGACATAGCATAAACATATATCGCAAATAAACATTGGCCTAGACAGCAACTATCACTACCACTTTTCCGCCGTCGCTGCAAGTTGAATGCAAGTCGCTAACGCTAACACCAAGTTCTGACATCTTGCTCTGACAGAGAGCGAAATCCAAAGCAGGCAGGAAGTGGCGCAGTCAGCGCGGAGCTGGCCGCTTCCCCCAGAAACATGTTGGAGTGTCTTTTCTTTCAGCTTCTTCCGTTTGTGGGCCTGGTGGAGGAGCCCAAGCTCCTGAAAGACAGGTTCAGGGCCAGGGGAGCCATGCCACGTTTGCCCTTGCGACCTAGAGAGCTGCTTGCAGGCCAGTCTGCTGGCCTGGCTGGCAGCCCCCACCCTGCCCGGCCAGGCCAGCTGGCCCCTGGCCCAGCTGGCGCCAGCGCCGACTCCGGCCGGCTCCCGCACTTCTGGCCAATTTCGGCAAATTTTCGGACGGATTTTCCAGAGGAAAGCGTAAAACTAGCACAAGAAAAAGCACAAGAAAAAGCACAAAAAAAGCACAAGAAAAAGCACAAGAAAAAGCACAACAAAAAGCACCGCAAAACCCCAATTACCCTCCAGAGGGACCCCGCTACTACTTTTCATCACGGGAAACCACCAGCGGGAGCACAAAAAAAAAACACCACGGAACCCACAAAAAAAGCACTAAAAAAAGCACAATCGGGAGCACAAAATAAAGCACCACAAAACCCCAATTACCACCCGGACCCCGCTACTACTTTTCATCACGGGAAACCACCAGCGGGAGCACAAAAACAAGCACCACGGAACCCACAAGAAAAAGCACAAAGGACCACCGCAAAACTCCAATTGGAGCACCAAAAAAGCACCGCAAAACTTGGCCGGCGGGCCGGTTTTTCAAAATTACTTTCCCTTCAGACCGCGAAATTCAAATTACTTGCCCCAGGACCCCCCCCCCAGGCCTCCCCGGGACACCTTAAAAATTAAAAAAATGCGTTAGTGCGTTAGCCGTTAGTGCTCCCCGCGACACTCTTGGAACGAAAAAAGGAAGGAAGAACGCACAGACAGAAGGTTGGTGAGAAGGCAGACGGAGGGGAGGGTTGCTGTGGGCTGGATGTTTGCGTGAGAGGTGGGGGGGTTTGGGTGAGGGTTGCAGGCAAGAAGGAGGTTTGGGGGAGGGAGGGCTGGATGGGTGAGGGCAGCTTGGTTGGCAGGGAGGAGGTTGGGAGCGGAGGCTGAGAGAAGGCCGGGAGGGGCTGTGAATCGGAAGGCTCTGGCTTACGCTGGGGGGAGGTTGACTGGGAGGGGGTGTTGTGGGAAGCAGCAGCGACCAAGCCAAACAGAAAGGAAGGACGGAAAGGTAATGTTGCAACAGCCACGCTAGCCGTCGTGTTGCGTGTGCCTATTTAACTTTCCCATTGTATCTGGGCTAATAAGTCATAGTGCAAATAGTCTTTGAATCACTTTATTTCAAGGTCCCCGGAGCTATCCCCCAAGATGCAGAACGAGTAGTTTAGGTTTCAGACCTGCACGGGTACCTAATTTTAAAAAAGAGCAAAGCTGCTTGTTTTTTTTGTGGTGTTTTTTTTTGTGCTCTTATTTGTGCTCACTGTTAGTGGTCCGGGGCCACCCCCAAGCTATAGTTCCTATAGAACGTAGTGGGGAAAGACAGGCTGGTTGTTGCTGTAAAAAATGATTAGAGTTCTGGTTCTGGCTTAGATATAACCACAGTTTCCTTTCCGAGTATATAGGATAAAAAAGATTTGACTATGAAAGCTGCGAGGAAAGACAAGCTGCTTTTTCCTTCTGATGAGTTTAAAGTAAGAACTCTTATTTCGAATAATTAGGGTTGAAACAGGAGTTCCTTTCCAAGCAGGTTGCTTTTCAAGAAGGAATGACATGAGAATTTCTATGCAAAATTTTCCCATTGGTTTGCAAAGTTTTTATCGCAAGGCATAAACTGGAACTATCTTGATTTTAAGAGCACGCAGCGGACGTCAAGCGACGCTCAGGACCCTCGTTCGAGTGAATGCTCTTTTCCAGTGAGGTTTGCGCTGGTCCAAGAGGCTTACGCTTGCGCCGCTGTTGGTGCTGTGTCTGCAGGTCACAACCCAATACCGAGCTCTTTTCCATGTAGGAATTTCAGCAGAGTTCAATTGGGCATTTCATTTCGCCTCCTTTTAAAAGTGAAACTATAAACCGGACTTGTTCCAAGTAGGATTCCCATCAGATTTTAGTACAAGTTCAATTGGAACCTAGTGAGGAAAGAGAAGCTGGGTTTTTTAAAGCTAATGAAACAAGGCTTCTTCTTTTGAACTCTGTTTTATAAGGGCATTGCTTTCAGGCCTTTCTTTTGGGTCCGTGGGGGTGCAAAAGTACCACATGTATAAATTCACATATATATATATATATGTATGTATATACAGAGTTTGCCACAAAACAAACACACCTCTATATTCTTGTCTGGCTGAGATCCAACGCGCTAACTTGGCAGGCCCGGCCGCTGAGCCTGCGCCGCCTGGCTCAGTCCCTGGCAGAGCTGCGCAAGAGGAGATCGGCGCCTTGAAGTGTCAGGGGCGTTGGGGCAAACCACATCGTAGTATATGGTGTGCTGTACAGAAAAACTGCATGATCATTACTTTGCAGGCTTCTTTAAACAGTCTTTACGCAAGAATTGGAGTCGAGCATGTTGTGGAAAGCAACCTTACTTGACTGCTGGTTGCTGGGCCAAACCAACAAGCTGAGGGCATGGGCAACTTGACGACGCTGTCCACACCACGAGGGGTACACGCCAGTCTGATGAATTGGATGGGGCCCATGAGCCTGAAGAAACTGTAGCTGTTATTTTTCCGGACTCCTTGAAGCCTAAGCATACATTGTTGTGGCCTTGGCACCTGAAAACCAATCCTCAGGCCTCAGGCTGGAATCCTCAAGTTGTGCCCCGGTCAAACAACTCACCCGCCAACAAACTTTATACATCAGAAGCTTTCCAGGTTCGGTACCGTTGTGTCCATGGTCAATCAACCAAAGAAGCCGCCAATAGTGCTTTGACTCCCCATGGCTACTGGTTGGTTTTGGTTTGAATCGAAGACCGCCAGCTTAGTGTTCCTCTCCCTGAAAGAGTATCTTAGCAGTATCTTGTTCTATGTCGTTAAAGCCGATGTGTTTAAAGATAACTGGTTCACTGACTGCTACAATTGCATAGCCGTGTTTTTGGGTTTGGCATGCTAAATGCATCATTGGCAGGTGAAGAAAGCCGAGCCTGTTTGATCGAATTGTGCCCCTGTCCGCTAATCCTCATGACTCATAACCTCATGACTCATAACATACGGGCGTCGATCAAAATTTTCGTCCGTGGAAGCAAGACCAAAGATGAAATCCCTACTGCTGTTTTTATTCCCTTTGCATGCAACTACTGGCTGATTAGCTGTCACTGGCAATTTTGTGATCCGTAGCCACATACCGCCAAGCAGAATCCAAGGTTGAGGCCGCCTGGACATCGACGGGCTGGTCGACAGATGCTGGTCACACAGCCCCGATGGAGGAAGGATGCTTGACACCGAATGTCGGATGGATGTCTTTCTGAAAAGAACCTTTTGGCAGAGTGTCTGCATTCCCCGCTAGTTTGTTTCGGCAAGGAAGGCAAACTTGTGTCAATTACAAGGTGCCAACTGCTATTGTGTTTTTTCAACCCCCTTGGTCGTGAAAGCAAGTTTTGAATGTGTAAGTCTCAGGTCTCATCGTCTCATCAATTGTTTCGTGCAATGCATGCAAAGGTCCTTTCTAGGAAATCACACATGGAGTGATGATGAATGAGCATCGTGTGCTCAACTGCCCCAACCGCACTCGAGGACCACTTTCTCAGAGAGAGAGAGAGAGAGAGAGAGAGAGAGCCTCCCAGACGGTTGACGGGCTGTCAGACGGGCTGCTTATTGAGGCGATTACCACTGATGAGCAATTGCAATCAGTTTTCCCAAATGAACCGTGTTCTGAAGTGCTGGCCATCTATGCTTCGCTGGCCGCGCAGAAGTTGTATTTGCTGGGAGTGCTGGCTGGGGACTCTATGTTTGGAGCTGCGAGCCGGTTGTTTTCTTCAACTGGTATTGAAGTAAGTGCGGGGTTCCCAGAAGCAACCAAGTTCCCGAAACCTTAGGAGCAATCGGACCTCAGCCCGCTGCAAGGCGGAATTTAGGCAATACGTGTTGACGGCGTGCCAAAACGGTGGGTATTGCCGAACTCCGCCGAGGTCCTGAGTCAGCTGAGTCGATGGTCACCCGCCTGCTTCACCCGGTGTCAGCGACGCCTACAGCGGCGCCGCCGCCGCCGCCGCCGCCTCCGCCGCCTGCCGCTGCGAAGGCCAGTGGTGGCATCGAGTTAGAGACGCAAAGACGCCCGGCGCCAGAGCCGCAGCGGGGAATGTTTCATCGCCAAGGCTGATGCCAAAGGGAATGTTTCATCGAACCATCGATTTTCGGCCGCGGAGGCGGAATCCGCGGAGGACGAGGGGACCTTCATCCGAGTCACGGGGCTCTCGCGCCATGCGCGGCCGGTGCTCGAGGTGGGGTGGAGCCCAGATCCAGACCCAAGTTGGTTCGTTTGGTGGGTTCCCGCTGGCTATGAAAACAAAAGGAGAAAGTTGAACAACTGTTGCAAGCAGTTCAGGTGGGTAGAATGAGCTCACGCATGAAGGTCCTTGCACGGAGAGTCCTCATAGCCTGCGAATACAGTAGTTTTTGCCTAGAAGTATGCTTGCTGACGTTTTGACAAGCAGATGTCTTCATCGCCCCCAAGTTGGGACTTGGATCCCAAATAACCCGGATTGGTGAAGCGAGCTAGTGATGGGTTCCCTGGAATTCCGTCCAGCGGAGACAGGCCGGAGCATGTGTTCAGCTTGCTTCTAGCGGGACATCTCAGGTCTGCTGGAAAGCGGCCAACTCTGGTTCACATATATATATATATATAGTATATATATAAAAAGTATATATATATATATATATTGGTTTATCCCAGGCTCCGATCTTGACGCAATAGCTCAATTTCCCGGGTCTCCTTTTGAACGCGAACCGCCCTTGGAAATCTACCGATGCTCAAGAAATGGAACCCTAGTGAATCCTAGGGACATGGTTCGCAGAGGAGCTCCGTGTTCAAGCAACATCTAGCGTGAACCGGCGCACCTGACTCTTGCTCCTACTTGTTGCACAGTTTGTCAAGGTGACAGACACGTCATCGATCACATCAAGTCGCTTGAAGCATCAGATTGTCCAGCAAATTTTAGAAGCTACTCCCATGTCCAGCCTTGGTAACAGCCAATACGAACAGAAGCCGATATGGTGCGAACAAATATCAAGGGGGGGTTAGCATGGAGCCTTAAGGGAATCCTAAACGCGGTCCTTTCGGGGGTTCCTGCCAGGAAACACTCGATATATTCCTGGCTGGGTTGTTCAAATGCCATTTGGATTCTCCCCTTTTTTGGAAAGCAACAAGTTTCGGCCTCACGAAGAAAGATGGATGACGGTGCTAATATTTGTCGCAATAAGGGGTAAGGATGATAAAGTAAACCCGGCCGGTGCTTTCCTTTTCGATCCCAGAGACTATCGATTTGCCAGGAGCGTCGAGTCTCCAGCGACGTTGCCTCTGTGCCCAGGGACGGCTACGCCCGTCCCGCTTCGGCCCCCAGCGTGGGGCGCGCGCCGAGTCCTGCGCCGAGTCCTGCGCCGAGTCCTGCGCCGAGTCCAGAGCCGAGCCTTGAAAGGCAAGGAGCAGAGTGTCTTTTTTGAGAGTACCCCTTTGTTGGTGGTTTGAGAGGTTAAATCCAAAAGGAGCATAGTCTTGGGGTACCCATATTTTGAGACAGACCCGCGTTCCAAATGGGAAATTAGCCACATTCGATTCTAGCTCCCAGTACTCAACAAGAAACGAATCCTGAAGTGGGTACCTCCACGAGGGGGGAACCTGACACACAGGGTGTTGTTTGGACCATGTTCCTGCAAAAGGGATCATCCCAAGTGTCTCCTTCTGAACGCAGTCGGTGGGTTTGGCCGTGAGCAGGCCGTGAAATTACTTCATACCCAGTGCTTCCGCTTACCACTGCAGTAGGTAACCAGGTATGTTTCCCTCCAGGCTCTAGACATGATGGTTTCTGGCTATACCTATATATAGGTTCACTAGGTTGTTTGCTTGCACGATTAGGTTGTCGAGCTCAGGAGTGCGTGGGGCGACAGCGAGACAAAGGAGTCGTCTCGACCGCAAAGGCGCCGGCGGGGATGTGCTCCAGGGTTCTTTTCGTAGGCTGAAACAAAGGGGTTCTCGCTTGTGGGAAATCAACCCTGGGTTGAAGTAAATGAAGGGAACCCTGACCTATCCCTGCTTAGCAGAGGGCATTTGCCATTTGTGCCCCCCGGGCTTCAATCGCCCAGCCAGACAACAAGTTGTTGTTGCAGAGTTCTCTGTCCAAAAAATCATGCTTTGACATGTTTGTGCCATATGTGCCCTTCAATGACATGCGAGCCCGGGCAAGAAAGCTCTCTTGAGCACCTTCCAGCCACAGGCTCGTTGTCTGATTGGTTGCAGACCAAGCACCACATTTGGGCCCTCACCGGCCAAGACGGTGCGGGGGGGGGGGGGTGGGGGGGTCTATTGAGGACATTTAAAAAACACAAACGATTCAGCTGCCTCGTAAGCCGCTCTTTGCTCTGACGCACCGAAGGGGGAAAAACGGTGGTTGGATTCAAGTATGGCGACCCTTGATTGACACACGGAAGAAGGCAGTGAGGAATTTGATGTGTTGTTGGGTCGCAGCAGGGGTGTTTTTGTTGTTCGGATCTGTCCTGTGCCGTTCAAATCTCGTATGGTTTTGTGCTGCTCGGCTATTGCTTGTAGGGCTTGGAGTTGCAAGGGGGACCATTTTATTCCAAGTCATGTGCGAAGAAAAAGAAGCAATAACACAAACATAAATGCATAAACTGGGTGGTAGCCACATGCGCCTGGGCACAAATGACGTATTGTGCGTGTGGCTCTTCTCGAAGATAATATGTGTTTGTTTTGTTGCATGCAAGCGGAAGTTGTCAATGCCATGACAGTGCGGACGTTTCGCAAAGTATCCAAACACACCTTCAAAGCACAAAAATGCAACAGCAATAAAGACAAAGGCAAGCCAATTGTCAGGGTCTGAAACCTATTTGGCTTGGTCTTTGACCCACTGTTTCAATCAACGCAACTAGTGACTGGAAGCGTTATCAGAAGGAACAAAGCAAACAACCAATGTGTGGCGTCTCCATGTTTCTGCGGAAAGTATATTATACAGCAAATTCACAAAGTGGGTCGGGTGATGTTCAAAGGGACTTCTTGAGCTCTGGTTAATGTAATATGCCTTCCAAAGAAGCATTTGCTGATGAAGTGCAGATGGGCATCTTTAGCAATCCAAGTCTCGCACACCTTTCTCAACAAGAAGCGAAAGGCTGAGGGCCTCGCTTAGGCTAGCATGGAACGCCTTGTAGAGGAAACTTGTCCCACTTCGGTTCCATGTCAATGGACGCTAGGGTGCTTGGCTGTTCGGCCAATCTAGTAGAGTTGTCGGTAACATCGGTCACAGGGCACCAGGCAGTTCCCTAGCGGAACCAACCTTGCTATCAATGGATTCGCAGCTAGGTTACCAACGGCTTACGCGCTCTGGCCAAACGGCAGGTTTCAAATGCGTCTCTTGTGGATTCGCCAAGAGAGGAAGCACTCCTGAAGAGTATGGTTCTCTGAAGTTGACGCTACTGTATTCCTTTGGATCCTGAACAGATGGAATCCCAGCAAGGGCCTGTGACTCCCAAACGGAGGTTTCTCCAGGGTAATGCTCCCTTTAGGCATTGGGCTGGTTTGGTGAGGGGCACATCATTGAGCGCACAGAATGCACATACCTGTTGGCCATGTGGCAGCTGGAAGAACATGATCTCTTTCTCCGAACCCGCCAGCCTGCGTTGGGTATCTCTGTGAGTCCGCGTCGCTGGCGCCGGCAGGAGGAAATTGGATGGTCCGCTGGGATCCAGGCAGCAGAGGAAAAGCTGACTAAGAGGGCTCCAGTGTGTTTGATCATGTTTGGTTTCGCCTAGCCTTGTCCGCCCTGACTTAATCTACCGTACAAATCCCACGTAATGAGACCAAGCCCACCCCCCATCTTCCAAAAAACGGCCGCCGTCTTCCAGCACCAAGCTGCTTGGCGTGGTCTCCTCGCCCGTTCCGCGCTTCCAGCCGCCCCTCGCCTCCGCTCCCATCTGGGCGCGCCTCCGATGCGACGAGGCGCGCGCGGATCCGGGAGCTGCTGAAGCGCCTGGACCTGGGCCCCTGCCTGGCGGACGCGCAGCGGGTCACGCAGCGCCAGCGCGTGGCCAAGGAGCGCCACTGCGCGCCTCGGAGGCGGTGGAGGGAAAGGTGACGTAGGGAGGTAGATGGAGCTAGGGAGGGAGTGGGGGTGGTTTAAAAAAGGGGAGGGTGACCTAGAAAAGTTGATTCCCCAGTGTTTCTGACTTTGTTCTAAGTTGGTTGGGCCCGATTTTGGGTTGGCTACCGCATGGTTGGGTATTTTTGGCAGCTTGAGGCTCGAAGAGTATGGTTCAGAGCATGATGATATGTGTTTGCGGGCAAGGTGTCCCTTTGTTTGTTGGTGGTTTGGATTGGTTGGTTTGCTTGGTTTGCTGGTTTGGTTTGTTGGTTTGTTTTCCGTGTTGTTGGATGGATGCGTATTAATGGCTGATTGTTGCTTGCTTGGGGCATTGTTGGCACGGCCCTGTTGCGCATGCACGGCATGCACGAAGCAGCTCACGCAGAGCTCACTTTCGATTTGTCGGTCTTACACCGTACACCTCATACAGGTCAACTTGAGAAGACTTGCGCAGACAAGATACTCCCAGTGATGCGTTGATATTTAGCTACAACATATTTCTGCTTGAGACACCCTTTTGTCCAAATATCCTAAGACCATTTGATGTGTGGCGCTTGTCCAATTGACGCATGTTTGCGTTTTTCTTTGTGCCTTTTCTGCGCTCCTTTGGTGAGGCCTACCTCGAAACATGTTTTGAATATTTTTGAAGCGGTAGTGGCAAGCACATGCTCGGGAGCAGGCACAAAGCCGAAAGTGCTACGAGCTTCCAATTTACGTATCGAGTTGAGGAGCAGAAATTAATGCTGCAATTGCTGGAACAGATCTGTTGCGCAGTGTTTTTTTACGTCTAAAGAGAAGGCATATGCCCAGCAACTTGTGCACAGACTACTGCTGGAGGGAGACTTGCACAGATGAATCTGAGCAACGCATTCTCCTCTTCCAGAGAATACTTGTTCAAATACACTTGCCCAATTTGCTTTCGGAGAGAAGTCTCACACGGCATACGCCTGTGAGGACAAGGTCATCAATCCCTTGCATGGACATTTTGATTGCCGCTTGCAGACCCTGGCCAGGGACCATAGGCTCAGGCCCAATCTGGATGAAACCATCAGGCTGAACCGGCCAGTTTGCGCATAGCTCTGAGCTGAGGATCGGCTGGCGGGCGTGCCCAGCACCGGCGCCTTGATACCCGGGTTTGGGTATGCAAGGCGTTCCCATGTCTTTGGACACGACACGTCACGGCTTCCCCAGATATACCTTTTTGGGTATTTTTGGCCATTCACCTTTTCTTCAAGACTCAAGACCCGGAGGAAGCCTCAATTCTTGTGATACTGTTCAGGGGGACAGTCTGAGAGCCACCGCTGGATTAACGTTAACCCCCCCTTTGATGTGGTTGCCTTCGCTTTGGTTCCATGGGCTTAATGCAAAGGCGCATGTTCAATTCTGAGCCTAGGATTTGTGTAACGCCGCGCAAGCATGCAGGACACTACATCTCCTTTGAAGGGGAGTAGCCGGGGGCTCCGCAATTTGCTATCTTCCCCACCAAAGGGAACATGGAACTGCAAATGGAATTCTGGACAAACAAATGTGCCCCTCCCCCAATTCCATTTCTAAGGTGGCCCAATACAGGTGTGAACATGAACTCCACCATGAACCAGTTCTTAAGTTGGCCCCACAATGCCTGTGTTCATGAGCAAAGCGACTCGGCACCTGTTGCATTGAAACGGGTTGATCTTGATGTCATCGGTCTTCAGTCCAGGGCAGACAGCTGCAGCATCGATCCAAAGACTCCAGACAGGATTCCTTCCCCCCTCTACGTGTTGCCTTCCAATGTATCCCAATGGAAATCCAATATGGGCGTCAGTCACAGTTATCAAGTGGGTCTCCAAGTTTGGGACACGCCGAATTGCCTCATGCCTCAAACGGTGGTGTTGTAAAGTGTGCACAAGAGGCAGGGGTCTGATAAATGCGTTTTACCTTGGCGTTTTATTGACCGCTTCCGCCTTAAGCACAGGGCTGCAACGCAGGCGCCTTGTCCCCGGCTTTGAACCTCCGCCGCTCCCGGTCCTTCATGGACCTCGTGGCCACGGAAGCCGGCCCGCACTACGCCTCCGGCCGCGCAGCGCCGGTGGATCCCAGCCTTTTGGACGACGTCCTCGCCAGACTTCCTGCCCCCTAGCCGCACACACATGGGAGCCCCTTAGGTCTGATTGAAGTTAAATGGAATGTACTGGCTGTTGGGTTCGAGTCATTGGTCCCATCTATTGTTCCGTGGCTCAGGCACACAATAAGAAGGATGCAACAGGTGGTTTCTTGAAACAAGTCCAGAAGAGTCGCCCACGGAGTCCGGTTGTTTCACTCCGCCTGTGTGGGAGTCGTGTCTCGCGCGGTAGGGAGGAACCATATGAAGAGTGTGAGTCTGCTGGCAGATGACTGACCCGTTGGACGATTTCCAGGCGTGATTGAAGTATGCGGGTGCAACCGTTTATCACTTGGGGACGAGTTGCTGGACATGTCCCCAAAAACATGGCTTGCCGGGTTCCTCATTGTGAAATTGCACAGTACACTTTGTGGCCTCCGTACCTGGTATCGTATCCGTTCTGACGCCCACGATAAGATTCTTGTTAGGGAATTTCTCTTCTTTCAGTTTGGGAATGATACTGTATAGGAATCTGCCCAGATCCGCTGGGGGTTTCCGCATGAGGCAAAGCCAGCGAAGTGTGCGCGTGAGCCTTGCACCATTTGCCTGGAAGTGCCTGCTACAGGCCAGACCGGGGGAACGATCAGTTGAGGAACTGACAATATCATTGGTCATTTGTTGTCCACCGTTGGTTTGGGGAGGACATGCAGGACAACATGGCACAGCTCGATCTTCCCATGCCCTCTTGGGGAAGCAAGCCATGTTGTTCGGTTTTGGTCACTTGGGCAAAGGGAGGTTACGCGTGGGCAAGCCAGGAGTGGTAGTTGTCAATGGCAGGATTCGAATGGTTGGATTGATCCTTGTTTTTCTTGATCGTCGGCATAGGGACATACCCACACTGTGTTTGGCACACCTCATATCCGCTGTAATTTTGAGACATACCCTTTGTCCTGGCCAGCGCAATTTGCCTTTTTGCATGAGCCCTTGAGGTCCTAGGATCCGAGGGGCGTGCATGAGCCACAGGCCAACTGCTTGTGGTGCTTGTATGTGGAGCCAACCAACAGAAACATGTTTTTCCGCCTCGAACGTGCGCAGATTTACATGGGGAGGTCTTTGTATGCATTCTGGATTTGCGGTGCCAGTGGTACAGGTTGTGCCAAATTCGCAGCTTTGGAGAGTCCTAGCCTTTGGACGAGTTTGACACTGAGTTCATTAGCCGTGATTAAAGTCGGAGACGCATTTCTGGGTCCCATTGAAGAAAACGGGCTTGTCTCAAATTTCAGGGACTTCTAAGAATAGTTGACTTTCTTTGGTGCTTTTCAAGACCAACCCAAAAAAGTGTCCTTCAAAAGACACACGTCACCGAGAGAAGTGTGTTTTTTTGTTTCCGTGAATTCTTAAGCGGTGGGGCTTGAGGATTCCATGTCTGGATACACCGATGCACCTTCCCAGGTATGCTCTTGCTTTGCATGAATGTTGATTGACATCGACCGTCCTGTTGACTTGCGGCAGCTTGTGCATTAGTCAAGAACACATCAGCAAAAGGCACTTAGATCGCTAAGAGGGCAAGCATGCAACGTGATATGAACACATGATGGGCACGTTCATGCTCGGAACGATTCATGAGCACTCCTCCTTTGGTCAGTGTGTTCAATCAAATGGATCGGGACATGGTTCACGGTCTCTCGACATTTACAGCTGATAGAGCATACATTTGCTCGCGGTATTGCATCGTTCCAAGGCACTCCTACAGCTATGAGCTCCCTTCTGCTTCGTTTTGGGGTCTAGCAAATGGGACTGCAACCCAAGGCAATGCATTGACCCGATACAATGTGTATACATAAATTTATGTCACGTCTCGTTGCCAGCCAGTTTATACAGTACAGGCTCCTGATTGAACACCCACCCACCAGCGTCCACAACCTATTTTGGACACGCGGTGAAGCGATCGGTTGGATTGCCACCCCCTGCTGCTCCCTTATCCCAGGCGGCGACCATCATGAACACAAAGATAAGTTTAGGGTGTAAAATAGGGGCACCCCCCCCAAAAAAAACCAGTGGCGTTCCTTTTTTGTTTCCCTTCAAAATGAACCCAAAATTGATTGCCTCAAAACACAAACACACACACACAAACACAAAAACAAACACAAACACACAAACACACAAACACACAAACAAACACACAAACACAAACACACAAACACACAAACACACAAGCACACAAGCACACAAGCACACAAGCACACAAACACACAATCACACAAACACACAAGCACACAAGCACACAAGCACAAACACAAACACAAACACAAACACACAAACACACAAACACACAAACAAACACACAAACACAAACACACAAACACACAAACACACAAGCACACAAGCACACAAGCACACAAGCACACAAGCACACAAACACACAAACACACAATCACACAAACACACAAGCACACAAGCACACAAGCACAAGCACAAACACAAACACAAGCACAAACACACAGACACACAGACACACAGACACACATACACACATACTCACAGACACACAGACACACACACACACATATTTGTAGCCACCGGGACAGGAACACTCATCGCTCGATGAGGAAACTCGGGCAAGGGGAAAAAGCCTGGCCAGATTCCAATGTGCCTTTTGAGCCTATGCTTGGGATAGCAAAAGGGAGTTCAAAGGGAAATCACCCTGAACGTTGTCCTGGATAGAACAGCCCCATGTCAATTGGGGGCAACAGAATATGGAACGCTCAGGTGAGGTGGTAACGACTTTGCCCTGCTGCCACTGGTACCACACAGAGTGCATCAGAGCTACTCGCCTTGCCGTCGAGTTCGGGTGTTGGTCCTGGTTGTTCAGTGGCAGTGGATTCCCCACTAAAACTGGTCAGCCCCAAAATGGGTTCCCTTTGTCGATCACTGAACAACAACTACATGTTTAAGCAAGGGGTTGGCCCCGCCTGTTGAAGTTGCCAGGCTTGAGCAGCCTCCAAACAAGTCAAGAAGGGCTCTTGGGAGTGAAAGGAAAGAGCAATCGAAAGAAAAGCGAACCACAAATGATAGAAGGCAACGATGGACATGTGATCATTAGGCCACATGGGGCCAGCTATTGTCAAACTGCCGTTGGGAGCACTCTCGTTTCAACAATGGCCTGCAGTCGAACCACGTGTTGCTAGACTGCTAGACTTTCTCGGTTCATATTTGATGATATGCTAGATTCCTGCTCAGCTGAAAGCTGAAAGCTGTGGACATCCCATGATTGACAATCTGATTCAATCTAGATTGTAAGAAAGCTCCTTCTTGGCTCAGCCCCCTTGGATGTATTGCAGAGGGACGCTTTGAATCATACCAGGTGATGATTATTTGCCTTTCCCAGCACGCTTTCGTTTATCCAACATACCCAACATATCCAACTCACCCAGGCCCAGCCCATCGAAGTTAATTCACCCAACCCATCCGAGCCAAGCGATCCAAGCTATCCAAACCGTCCAAGCCATCCAATCCACGGCATTTCTTTCCTTCCCTTCCGCTGTTTCTGCTTGAGGAGTGGCTCCTGCACTCGCGGCTGTGTCCTCTTTGCAAGGCCCTGGTTGTACCTGAGGAGCTCGGCATGTGACGCCGTTGTCAGATTTATCATATGTTATCACGTTGTGTCGGCAGTCCCTTTATTTCCCCCCTCGTTTTTGGCATCTCATTGGCTCTTTGCCCAGTTGAACGGCAGCTTACTCCTGTGATGTGTCACTGTGAAAGGGACCCCTTTCGGGCGCCGGGAGGGTCCAAGGACCTAAGGAGAGACGAGCTCCAAACATGGCCCTGGCGGTTTGTTGCGACTCCGACCAGAACGGTTCAGAGGGCAGAAGGGCACCAGTGTGCCTGCCCCGGCCTTCGGAACCGGGTCTGTCCTAAAATTTGATGGGTTTTCTGTGATATAGAGAAGCAAAGGGGAAGCCCGATCGAATTGGTTGTAGGGGTTCCCCTACTTTTGGACACACCCGTTCTGGGTCTCATTGTGCATGCTGCTGCTTTCGAGGCGCAGACCATGTTGACCCTTGATGAATTGCTAACTTTGCCACCCTCCAAGCGATAAATTGATTGGGGGGAACGAGGGACACCCGTGTTTCACAACCAGTAAAATTTACTGATCAGGGATTGGCATTGACTTTCCTTCAGATCGTGATCTTGTTTTCTTGAAGCTCTACCTTTGCAAGCAAGGGCCCAGGGTGTGCTTCTCCGGCATTCGGCATTGGCCAACATTTGGTGGTTGACAATTTATTGAATAGCATGGAATGTGACGTTCACCAAATGTGTGTGTGTGGCTGTATTTGAGGAAGTGTGCCTTTCGGGGTGCATGTTATCACAACCCATGTTGGGGTTCCCCCATTCAAAGACACCCCCACATAAAAGGCCCACAAACGAGTGTTGATCCCTCGATTAAAGTCACAGTCAGACAAAGCTTCGATATTCAATGTGTTGACTGCTTTCTCCCCTTTCACTTTCTCATTGTATTCATTTAGAATGGTCTTTCGGGAGTGCGGAAGACATAATCCTCGAAAACCGCAAAGTTTCAGCAGGTTTCACCTTTCCCCTCCGGTCGAAGAACGGCTGAAGGAGCGATGCGGAACATGCAGTGAGCCATGAAAAAATGATCGCGATACCCTGTGAGCACTTTTTCACTAGGGTTAAATAGCCGGAATGAGGTTGTGGAATGGGGGACTTCAATGTCGAAGTGTGTTATGCTCGAAACAGAGGATATCAGAGGATTGTCAATGTGTGTACACGTAGTTTAGCCCCATATTACATCCAAACTTTGCCCGTGCACCACAAGCAAAGCTCGGCACGGTAGACATTGATGACCTTTTTCTTCCCAACATGGAGACCAAGAAAGTTGGGAAGCACCGCGGAATAACACAATGCTATAGATGAGTATATCCAACAATGCGGCACCCCGACGAAATGCTTAGTTTACTGCCGAATACCCGGTAAAGATAAACTCGAAGAGAGAACCATTTGAAGAGATGGATCGCACCAAGCTAGGTCATCCGGGGGACTTTGTTTCACTTGGGGATACTCGTTTGCGGTTACACACTCAAGCAACAAAAAACGGCAAACCGGATTCACCCTTTTTTTACGAATGCCAGACGGGTGTCCATATTCTGAATGTCACCAAAACAACATTACAAGGAGTTGTTGCACCGGGTATTTGTCCTTTTGAACATTTCATGTAGCGAAACAAGTGCGTCAAAAGGCGCAGCACGTTGGCGCAAAACGCTCGTGCAACCTGCCAGTCTTGTGTCTTGAACACCACGTGAAATCTACACGGAGTCTACAGGGCCTAGTGCCTCAAAACCAAGCAAGTCACTCGACCATCCCTCCCATGGCTTGTGATGGTTGCGACGTAGGCTGGCCTTATCGCACCGCTTCCTTTTTGGCCGGATGCGCTTCTGGCTCACAGTAAGTTGTATTTTCTCGGGGAACACCCCCCTTGTTAGCGTTGAAAGAGAATGTAATAGCAACAAGTCAATTTTCAGGGGTCTCCTTTTAAGCAGACGTATCCATGGCAGGGGCACCGCTGCTTGACACCATGAAGCAGCAATTGCAGCGAGAAACCAAGCTTCCGGGAAATTGTGCCGGTGCGACTTGTTGCTACTGTTCAGACTGGCCGGTCGACCATTGACAATCAGCTGAACAGTGTCCGCTTCGATAATTGAATCGATTCAACCCTTTCCGAAAGTTCAACCTAGCCAAACTGCGGGTTTCCTCTTTTTTCAAAGACAGCCAACCACAAGATATCCTTGTGCATTCTTCCGCCGGGGGCTGTCCTTCGGGCACACATGGAGCGGCTGAAATGGATGTGCTGCGGCATCTGCGAAGCGCGGAGCTCCAAGCTTCAGCTCCAGGAGATACCCAGCGGAGCAAGGATGTGGTTTTCCAGGGGTAACTTCCGCATTCTTTCCAGCGATCCTTCTTTCTAGAAAACCACACCAAAAATGCTGGGGAAATGGCTGGTTTTTGAAAGGAACGATGGCTGAAAAGAATGGAGAATGAACCCCTAGAGGTTTGCCTATGTTCTGGCGAGCTCGCCTGGGACCAACACGACCGCACCAACGAAGGTCCTTGGGGGTCCATAGTTTCGGCATTTGTGTACCAGGGAATTTTCGCTACGGTCCTCGTCCAAATGGGATCCCCCCAAGAATCCTTCAACGCAACAGTTGCAAGCTGGTCTAAAGCTGGTTTAGCCTCAGCATGCGGGATTTGCTGGCTAATTCTAGTTTAGTATTGAGAGAAATGAGGTCTGGGAAAAGCAGTACTTCTACCGCGCATTTGTCAAACAGGATTGGAACGGATTGCTGTAGAATTACAACAATGGGTATGCATTGATAATTGCTACGTTGCAGTCCGAAGAGCGGGGCTTCCACCATGACTACATTTAGAAGTCTGACTCATAGGCAGGTCCCAGTCCAACAGCTAAAAGGCCTAAGTGTAAGCTCGACGCCAGGCGCAGGTGTTGTCCTCAAATTCAGTGATGGCGTGTGAGTGCGTGCGCGTGCGCGTGCGCGTGTAGGTGTGTGTGTGTGTGTGTTTTCCCTGTCCGGTTTGCTTGGCAGGAGGCAACGCGGGAAGCGCGGAATGAGCCGGAGACGGAGCCGGAAGAAGAGGAGAGGCGTTTGATGTACGTTTGGCCCATGTTTGGTCGTGGACAAGGTCAGATTTTAGTTGTGGGCGCTTTGGACAAGTGAGTCTAGGAAACCTCCGCTCCCAGTAGTAGCTGTCCTTGAGGCTGTTTGAACAACCACCCTACTCAGAAGGTGTAGCCCGGTTGTGAGACATGGTTTTGTTTTTGCGTTGAGGGGTCCCTGGTATTTTGGGGGCTGTGTTGCAAAAGAAAACCAAAAGGAACGCCACCATTTTGGGAGCACCCCGAATTTTGAGATGTTGGCAGCGTCTTCTACCGTGGTGGCTAAACGTGGTGAGTTGAACAATTGACTAGTGCGTGCTTCGCGCAAACAAATCTGCCACAATCCATTCAGTCAACGCGACCGGGGATAGATCCTCAGGGGTTTGGAACCCTCGCGTACGATTGTTTCTGGTTACGACTTGCTTTCTTCATTGTTGCAAGCATGTCTTAGCCGCAGTATTGAGCGACCACCCCTCACCCTTCAACATTCATAAATGTCGACCGTCCATGTGCAAGAGACTGTCCTTCAATCCTTCCATTCCCATTTTCTATATCATTAGAAGCGAAGCTGATGATATTTGTCCCTTGCTTCCCTAATCTGCGCTTCCGTAGCCTGCGAGTCGCACAAGCAAGCTGCACGAAAGCATGGCACGTGCATAGTTGTTTTATTACGCCTACCGGGCGGCAATCGTTTTTACCACCGCCCGTGGTGAAGTTAGACCTCCGGTGGTACCCTTTTCTCTTTGGGAGTTCCAAATCAGACCAACTACGGGGAAAGGGGTTCCCCGTTCAAACCAACAGTGCTGTCTAGGGGATCTCTGCTGTGAAGCAGCAGCTGTTGCAGAGAGACTTGCAGGGAAGGAGGGGGACGGAGACGCATCGACAAGAATCTCCGTGCTTTAGTGCAATCAGGTGGAAGGGAAAGCCCTGTGTATTCATGTATTGAGTGGCTCATGCCTGATTTCAATGTAGCCGGTGTCCCTGTTTTGCTCCAAGAAATATCCACCCGCAATGCCAGCCAACAACCTTGCTCACTTTCCCATCAGGCAGTTGCCGTGGAGCAATATATTCTGTGGGCATCAACCTCGGTTTCGCTGACTTTGCACTCACATTGCCAGAGTCAGTTGACCCGTTGATTATAGCCTTCGGTCAGGTTCCATTGCCCGCAATGACCAGAGTGCTAGCAGTGCCAGGGAGACTTGTGAGGGTGTCATGCATGGCAATGATGGCTGCCATGTGCTTGCTTATGCTTGCCGGCTGCTTCGTTGCGTTCCAGGCCCCCTCAACACTGGTCCAGGAAGTAGGCGCACAACTATTCGCGAAGCGTACAGAGGCTGGACAAAATAATATGAGGTTCGGTCAAGATTTCCAGTAGTAGTTCATTTGCGAGGGACATGGGCACAATCACAAAATTTATCCCAAGGACCAGGGGACTCACTAATTGTTCCATGTCCTTCTGGGGAAACAAGTAACTGTGGCTGATGTCTCAAGGACATCAACAACTGCACAGCAGCATGTTGGTGTGTCAGGCACGTGCCCTCAAATAGAAACAAGTTCGCCCCAGTTTGACTCTCGAGCATTGTTGGGCTTGTTTGACCGTTTTGCCATGTTGGGCGTTTGCTTTTGACATGCCCATGGCCGACTAAGTCATTCTGCACGGGATCTAAGTCTGGTCAAGACAGATGTATTTGAGATCGGTCCAATCATGTTGGCGTCCAAGTCGTCTCGCCCCCCAAGGACTGAATCGGATGAACACCACAGACCTCTTGAGAAAGGCCGGGGCAAGATGAGGCAGCAATCACTGCAGACATTTGCTGTTTGCTTTGTTTAGTTGTAGACTGTTTGGCTTCATCGAAGGGGATCTATTGATAGCCATGGCAAATTGAGTGGTCGATTGCGATCCTTTCACTGATGCCGCCTTGCTCAGATGTTAACTTAACTGTGGGTGTTTCTTTCAGATGCGGGAGACCAAAAGCAAACAGATTCTGGCGTCCGACTCATTTTCTTTCAAGCCACCCTCTGGCGACTACGGCTCACTCGGCTTGCCTAGATTCGGCGGAACATGAGCTCCTTTTCTTCGGTGCCCTGGCGGCACGGCTCCATGCGTTCTCGTCATAGCAACCTGGCGGGGGAAGACATTGGGATCTTTCCTTTGAGAGTTCCGGATGGCTCGTGTTTTTTTTTCAATGATCAAGGCGAGGTACACTTTTTTTCACTTTTAAGCTTTGCCACTTGGGCCCAGACGGTTTGGCTGTGAAAGCTGAAAAGAAGACCGGTTTGGTGTATTTAAAAGCAGAAACATTTGGCCACCAGGTGAGTTTTTAGGAATACCTTTGCTCTCATTCCGGGGCATCACCATGTAGACCCCCTGGGACACCCCTGGAATTGCAAGCTGGGCGGGTCTGTTCATTGCCATCAGCCTCCCTTAGGCAGCACTCGCCACAAGATGACTCTGGTTCCTTTTTGTCTAGGCCCTGACGCCAGAATGAAGCAAGCAATGTTGACCCCTTCATTCGAGGAGACCCCTGGTTGTTGTTTGTGTTCATATGGGATCAGCATTACTCCTTTGGGAGCCTGTGTTTTTTCAAACCCCAAACCTGTTTCTGAGCCCATATGTTGGACAATTGTTTAAGTGGTGGCTGGTCAACAACCTGTCAGTGGTCATAGGTGCACCCCGACTTGCGCCTTTGGAAAGCAGGGTCCCCTGACACCCGACGCCTGCGGTTTGACGTCCGGTTTGTTTTTCCAAATTCTCGTCCATATTCAGTCAATGGTGCAAAAGGTGAACCTTTGATTTCCTGTTCCGTTGGGCTAAGTGAGTATTGCACCTTGGCAGAAAGCCCCACTTGAATGTCTACCAGTGGGTCCCCAAGTAAGATTCCTACCCATTTGTTTTTTTCTTTGGGATGAAACATCAGCATTACCTGGACCCAACACTCAAGCATGAGATCCCCAAATGTATGGTATGACTTCGACGTGTTCCAGGGTAGTTTGACAAGGGTCCCTACATTTCCAGAGTTCCCTCCTGGGGTGATGTTCAACAAGACCGGTTCCTGCCTTTGGGTTGACTTTGAAAAACCAGCAAAGGCTTTTCCCTCAAACCCACAGGTCGACCCGACCTTCTGCTCGGCGGGGGGCGGGGGTCGTGGCTTGGGAGCCGCTTCGAGGTGGCGGAGGATCTCTCCTGGGACGCGGAGGACATCGCCTCGGAGCCCGAGATCGACTTCGCCGTGCGGGAGCTGCGCCAGTGTCGCGGCAAGGGAACCGCAGGCCGCCGGTTTGGGGGTCGGGTGTGGGGGGGTGAATGCGTGCGTGCGTGCGTGCGTGCGTGCGTGCGTGCGTGCGTGCGTGCGTGCGTGTGTGTGTGTGTGTGTGTGTGTGTGTGTGTGTGTGTGTGTGTGTGTGTGTGTGTGTGTGTGTGTGTGTGTGTGTGTGTGTGTGTGTGTTTGTGAATGTGTGTGTTTGTGAATGTCTGTGTGTGTGAATGTCTGAATGTTTGCGTGTGTGTGTGTGTGGTGTTTTTGTTTTTCGGGTATCCATTTTGGGGTTGGTTTAAAGGGAAACTACAGGGCAGAAATCACAATTTCGATACATTTTGCGAGTTCCCCTGTTTAGTGAGACAAACGCAAATGGGTCGGAGCCACCTGAATAAGTGTTTGAGAGTGTTGTGTGGGCAAGAACAGTGGCAAGGGAATACAAACAGCAAGCCACCCGCCTGAAGGGGTCCATCTTGAGAAAACCCAACCTCGGCAGCCTTTGATATCTTCGGGGTGCCATGTGATGCCATGTGCAGATAATTATCTGCCAGTTCTCGAGTCAAACGGCTGATCCCCTGCACGCGAACCGAACAGAAGCCATGTGAAAACTAGATCCTTCTTGTTGCGAGCTTGCAATTGTTGAGATAATGGGCCAGAACGAACAAAACATGTCTGAGCCAGTGGTGCTGAATAGCCCATAAGGGGATGTTTTTTTCGCTCCTCCCGCCCCTCCCTCCGAGATCCCTATTTAACACCAGGATGGCTTGCAGCTCAAGGTACTTCTTCGACTTGCGGCAGGCAAGTACCGACACCTTCTGGCAGCGGAAGTCGCACAAGGCTGGACAATGCGATGTATGTCGATGTGTTGTTTTGGGTCGGCTGTTGTATTCATTGGGGTACTCAACAAGGCGTGCTTCGCTATCTGGGGTCTATGCTGGTGTATTTTACGGCTTCCGGCCTGGAATAGGTGATCCCCTGCATGGCTTGCCTTTCTGCTTCCCGGAAACTCCAGCACGGAGGTTTCCCTTGACTCTTCCATTTGCTGGGCTTCCTGCTTGACCAAGTGCCCCATTTTCGGATATAGTTCCCTTGGTTTGCAGGCTGCGCTTTTCGCAGCTGCTTGCAGGCGAAGGCACCCATACTGGGGGGTCCGCTAGTTTGGGACATTCTCCCTTGTAGATTTACATGCAATCCAAACATGCAGCATTCCTGAGATATCTGCTTTGAGAAATGTCCATTTGTGGGTTCCATGTTCTTCTGCATAGGGGTACAATCAGGGCCTAATTGATCAGAATGAAGTTGTGGGTGTTAATCATATGGCAGACCCTTTAGTGGACATCATTGAGGTGAGGATTCATGTGAGGGGGGTTGCCAAGATCATAGAAGAAGAATATGCGTAATTATTTGGCCCCTCGTACTGTGAATGGACGAGATCCTGCGCTAGTTGATGGGTGGTTTCTTCCATTGTCCATCCATCCCAACTGGAGCGGAGCGCAGTATTGCAGTTGGTTGACGGTAGACGCCACACCTCCTATTTCAGTTTCATTCCCTTTGCTTACCCGCATCTACCGGCAGTTGTGCAATCTGCTTTCACCCTGGCGTAGCCCTTTCGGGTATGTCAAAATAGGGGAGCCTCAAACGGTGGAATTCCTTCCGGTTTCCAAGCCAACCCAAGGCAGTGTCCCAACTCAAGAAGCACACACATATCTGCCTATTTTATAGCGAGCTCACATGGGGGTATAACAAGCTCACCATGAAGGTCCTTTGCCTTCAGGGCGAGCTCACATGGGGGTATAACAAGCTCACCATGAAGGTCCTTTGCCTTCAGGTTTGGCAGCTATCGTCGAAAATTTGCAGACCCTTCGGTCACGGAGCCTCATGTGACCGAGCCGAGCTTCAGGTGGTCATTGCCGTGGTGGTCTGCCAGCGCGAGGACGGGTCCTTGGTGCCCCTGCGGGGCATGAACACCGAGGCGCGGATGTGTTGATGCCCGAGGTCCGCGTGGAGTTGTGTGTTTTGTTTGCATGGGGATTCAGTGTTAAAGGTTAGTTGATAAATGTTGGGAGTACCACTACTTCGTCAGTTTTGAAGGTTGATTTGAAGAAAGCCCGAACACCTAGGAATTTGGGGAGTGCCACTGCTTTGTCCGCACGGATGGACAAAGCCTAGTTGGGCTGGATGAGCCTTATGAACTCTGTGATGGTACAGTATCACATGTCATCAATCAAGTCAATCAAGTCATCCAAGGTCGCACAGCTACAGGTAGGGTTTGTCCGCTGCCAGAATCTTGTAGCTACGATAAGAGCAATAGAATGCTCGGGATTCACCAAACAGCTGTGGGTATTGCAAGCTTCGGCTGGCCCTTTTCTGGGAATTGTACACTTGGCCTGCGCCATTCCTAAATATTCTAAGGGAATGCCTGATGCTAGTTCGCACAAAGTCCACCAGCCACATCCGTTTTGCCCAGCCCATAGTTGTGCGGGTGTCTTTTGAAAATTCCACGTTTTGCGCCAAGGGCATCCTAGCTGACCGATTTGTTGTTCACAACATACAATTGGGACCACTGCGTAACGCAGGAGTTTCAATTCCCTCAGGGGAAATACTTTTGTTCCTTTTCAAACACCCATGATCCTGGAACCCGTGCAGGTTTGCCCAAGCTACCCAAGTCTCTCTCTCTCTCTCTCGTTCTTTTGTTGTCCCTCCCTCTCGCTATGTCTCTAAGCATGAGTTCTTTGATGTTCAGTCGGGAGTTTATCATCAGCGCCGCGCCCGCTCACTTCCCGCTGATTTCCGCGCATTTCCCGCCGATGTTTGCTCATGTTACGGGAGAACACCTGGCCATATCAAGGTTTCTGCTCATTTTGTTTGCGCTCAGAATCTGAAGCGAAAGTTGAGCAAATGGAAGACCTAGGTATGTGTATGTAAACGTACATATGTACCTACATGCACCCATCTAAAGATACATATTATGCATATACCTAGCTGCCCATCTAGCCACCTGGCTACCTAGCTAGCTAGCTAGCTAGCTAGCGAGCAGCCTATCTGGTTGCCTACCTACCTGGCTGCCTACCTACCTACCCACCTGGTTGCCTACCTACATACATGCATATATAGATACACGCATGCAGACATGCGCACACACACATACAATACATGCACGCATGCATGCCAGCCCCGCAGCCACACAGACACACCGACACACAGACATGTGTGCGTATGTATGTACATACATATTTGAGCGACGACCGGAACCAAGGTGTTTGTCTAGCAAGAGTTGCATCATGACAACCTGTGCGTAAGCAAAACCTTCACACGCACAAGCTGACGAACCGACGGAAGCTGGTGGTGTAACCAAACTTGCACGTGCCCCGCGTAATCCAAAACGTGCATAGCGTCGGGTTTGCGTAAGCGGGGGAGCGGGGGCCTAAGAAACTGATGCATAGCAAATCATGACGTGCTTAGGACATCCCACAAAGATGTTCTACACACATGCCAATGCTTGCGCACGCGCATGCTGACCGGGTGGCAAAGGCTATAATGCTTTCCAGCTGTCAGCTGGTAGTTCGAATTATCCTTAAAGCCCAATAGCTCAAACTTCCAGTTGGCTTGACATGCGCTCCAGAATCCTGGATTGATGTCATTCAAGAGGCTTCCCCTTCCCCCCCCCCGGCTGCGTGGTTGCAGCGTGGATCGCAATCAGGGCCTGCAAAAACAGTGTTTCGCCAGCTTGGTAAAAGCAAATGTCATGTATGCTCACATAATATGCACCAGACTCAAACATCCAACTTTAGATTTGGGGAGCGCAAATACTGTGGTCAGCCGCATGCCTGGATCTGCGGCGCTGAGGTGAGTTTGCCCTCAGGCTCCCTCTGTGCTGAGCGCGCCGGGATCGCCTCGTGCGCCTCCCAGTTCTTCTTCGCGCGGAGCATCAAGGCGTCTCCGTTGAAATGACTCAGGGCTTAGTTTGGTGTCAAAAATGTCTGGGGTTTATTTGCTTGGGCCCTTGCAGTATCAGTTGAGCACCGCCAAATAGCCCTCAGAGAGTCATGAGTACGCTCTGAGTGCCGGCTCTGGAGAAAGGACCATCCTCGGAGAACTGTATTGCCAAGTAGCTTCTTAGAGCACGATGGCCTTGTGTTCACACATTTAACGCAATTTCACCCTCAGAAATCGCAATTCACGGCTTTTAACACAAATTGACACCAATGTCAAGCACACCAGTGTAAAGTTTACATGAGCCGGCTGGAGCAGCGCGCCTGACATTGGCATGCCCTGAATCTTGCGCCCAAACATCAGAAGGTGCTTTCGAAAAGCCGCTCTCAGAGGTTGGACCCTTGGGGCTGAAAGGACGCAGCACGAGCCATGGGAAGGCCACGCACAAAGACCCATGGTCACGATGAGTCCTATATGGTCACTATTAAGCTGCAATGGCTCCCTTGCTATGGCTCTAGCATATGGCCGAAATGATTCAGGGTGCCTTGAAAGGTACAACTTGCCCCAACACAACCTGTCCCACCAGACCAAAAGAGACCAGCATTTTTCAAAGCAAGGCTCAGGTGGATCTAAGGATCCTGTCGTTTTGCATAAGTTTAGTGTTCTTTGAGTGGGCAAGCTCGATAGTCAAACATTGAGGTCGACGAAATCCGATCTCCGTCTTGGTTAGCCCAACCCTACTCGGTGGCACCCTTTGTTCCTTTTGGTTTGGGGTGGTCCCTTTATCATCACGCAGACTAGCAAAAAATAAAGCGTGTGTCCGGGCCTCTGGAACATGTCAGCTGATTTGGGGGATGCCCATTGGGCACTTGCCGGGTTGGATGTTTGCTTTCAAGACTGTCCAATTTATGCAAGTGCAAAGCCTCAACCTGCATATAGCCATGGCTACAAATTTGAAGTTGGCATTACCTCAAAAGCGGTTGGTGGACAGACACCCTTCTAAAGGATGGCCACCAAGGGGTGCCATATTGAATTTCACGCCCCTGACATCTACAATTGCATAATATATATGCATGTAGAAATGAGTAACAACTGTACGCATTGTGTCCGCTGTACATCGCCATGCCTATTTGCCTGGCCGTGCCTCATCGCGGTATGAGGGCGAGTGAAGTAATTACCCTTGCCAAGACAACAAGGATGCCAACGTTTCCTGTGAAGGCAGTTTGTTTGGTCGGCTTGGGGCGGATGGCGTGCAAAGTCTTTCCGGCTAATTGAGATGGTGGGAGGACTCGTGCTCTCCGAGATGGGATCGTGCTCCTGTGAGGTCTGCTCTGGAAAGTATTGGACATATTTAGAGTCAGCCAATATTTCATTCACTCTGGCCAAATCTAGCCAAAACGGTACCTAGCAAAGGCAGAGCCCCGGACTGACAGAGCATTCTGCGCCCGCCACAATGGCCAGCTGCAAAGACCTCAACGCCATCCAGTCTTGTCCGACCAAGCAGGCTGCCTTCGCAAAACAAAAACGGTGCGTATCCCCGTCGGAATGGCACGGATACACAAAATGTCCAGCTGAGCAAAGCAACCAGCGCATGAGCACATGGCTTCGAAGCCTCTGTTGCGCACGAAGCTCTTTCACTAGCAAAGACTGCCACATCTAAAAGTTTTGTCTCAAGAGTAGTCAATTATCACGATGACATTTATGGCCCAGAGGTACATGAGGTAGGTTCTCATGTAGTCAGTTGCATGTTGTACATTCAAGTCATTGCCAGAGCATGATACAATCACTGCTTTGGCTCAAGTGCTGAAAACAGCGCGTTGCTCGCGCTAACCCCAAGGTTAAGGGAGAGGTCGCAGTCACGGAGGGGTTCGTTCCTTTTAAGGTCCCGGGTTCCCCCGTTGTTGACAAAACTGTGTTTCCCTCTCCTTTGAGTGGTTATCAGCCGTAACGCTTTTCGGGTAAACAAACCCTTCCGTGACTGCGACCTGTTGGTCGCACATGGAAGTCGGCCCTCACCGCGGCACACGCGGTGGGAAAGGGCCGCGTGCCCGATTGTACAACACTCTGCAACAGATCGTCGTCGACGAGTACAAGCGGCAGAACAGACGATTCCGGTGGATCAGGTTTGCGGACGCCTCGAAGCAACAGGTCGAGGCGCTCTTTTCCTGGCGTGAGTCACTGGATAGTTGGCACCTGTGGAATTTTGACCAAGAAGCCTTCGACGTGATCCAGGCCGCGGACAACGCTTATCAGCAGCGTCTCGCATTGGTTGAAACCACAGGAGTGGTCTTGCCGCAAGGTGTGCCATCTCAGGATCAAGCCGCAGCCTCAGGCGCGGCGGGAGCAGCGAGCAGTGCAGCGGACTGGCTTCGTCCTCCGACGCCTCCATCAGCTTCCTCCTGGTTGCAAGATTCGCGCACTCCTTTGCCTCGCATTCGGCCATCTGCAGAGGAAAGACAAGCCGCAAAGTCAACTCTTCGCGGGGTGTACGCTAAAGCTGCGGAAACGCGGCGGGATAGCAGCAGGGAACGGTCAACACAAAGATCGAGGTCCCCATCGCCACGAAGGTCGAGGTCTCCATCATCATCACCGAGACGAGGACCAACTGCTGCTGCCCCTGTGGAACAACGGGCCCATAGTGTTGAACCCGCGCTTGCGCGGGAGGGAAGGCCATCCAGGACTTCCCTAGCCACACGGCCCATCGTTTTGGCTCCACAGAATAGCATCTACCCTGTGACTAGGTTTGACGAACACGGCACCTGGGTATTGGTTCGGGAGGCATCACAGCCACGTGAGGCGGCACCTCATCGGCGAGCACAACGGACGTCAGGGCAGCTTCGCCAAGCCGATCCGTACCTGCTCGCGGACGAGACGTGGAGGGACCCCCCAAGAAGGTCCTCCACGAGCTCGCGCTCACGGTCTCCTGACCGTCGCCCGGCGCCGGCGGAGCACTTCCGCCTCGACGCCTACAGCTCGGACGAGGAACCGCCGCAAGACGCGGAGTCCATCAGGACGGGCAGGTCAGCATACGTGCCTCGGCGCGTTTACGAGGCGCCGACTCACTCCGAGCCCATCGCGCTGCACAGCCGGAGAATTGGGGCAGTTCAACCGCCGCCTCCAAAGGCCGCACCCAAGATCATCTTTGGCAGCAAGCCCCCATTGCCCAAGGAGATCCCCAAGGCAGTTTCTTCGGTGCCGGCAAAAGCAGATATTCCGAGGAAGTCACCGCCACGGGCAAGATCTCCAGTTCGGACTCAGAGTGCATTCGGGTACAAGGCACCTCCGCGAGGTTTGAACAAGGCCGAACCCAGAAGCAAATCGAGCTCAAACCCGCCACAATTCGGGTACATCGTCAAGCCGCCACCTCCGCAGGTCGTTCAAGCAGCTGCTGCTAGCGCTGCAACTCCCGAAGCTGGCTCGCGATTCCGCTCGCCACCAAGGAGGGCACCGCCTGCGCCCCCGCCGCCACCACCTCCGCCTGGAAGGCCGGTGCCGCCCAAGGAGCTTGTTGTTGCTCTTGACTGGCACGGAGTTCTTGACGTTGGGCAGCAGGGACCCCACCTCAACCCGGAAGTGATCCGACATCTCGTTCAGTTTGCAGCGGACTACGCACCTATAAATTTTATAGTGCTATCCTTCGTGGGCAGGGCTGCAAGCGAGTATCGCCGCCGCGAGTTCCAGGTCGCCCTGGAGCACGCGCGGACGACATCTGGACTCACTTTTTCTGCGATAAAAATCGTTCACGAACGGTTGGGTAGGGGAGGCAAAGCAGACGCCCTTCAAGGGCTGGGCGTTCACGCCCTTATTGACGATACAGCATCGATTGTCCGTGAAGCTCAAAAGACAGGCATCGCGGCGTTCCGCAACTTCCCGCACTTCGGGCCGGGAGGATTTGCCAACGCACTTGAGAACCTCGGTGAGTTCATTGAATCCCGGAACAGACAATTCATTCCGGCGGCAAGGGGCCTGCATCCATCGCAGTACCTCGAGGAGCTCCACCGATCTGCATCCCAGTTGCCCGCCAGCCGGGTACTTCGATAGCCATTGTTGCAAGCCGTTAAAACCGTCGCTTTGCGCGGTACAGCTTTTGCAGTTACAGGCATTCGATTTGCAGACAAATTCTCAATACAGCTTGGCAACATCCCTCGATAAAGCACCATAGTGCGGCAGTGCGGATCAATCAATATACAAGTACAATTACAAATACAGAATTCATCAGGTGCAAAGCAGCAGGGCGTATTTTCTTGAGTGGCTCACTTGAGCGTTTCGCAACGTATTTTCTTGAGTGGCTCACTTGAGCGTTTCGCAACCAGCTGCCAATCCAGGGATATCTCCTCGTAGCACCTTTTGACACGCTGCTCAAAGCGCGTGGAGCTAGCTTCGTGTGAGTGCAAAAGTTGCATTGCTGTGTCATGGCTTCAACGGGCTTATCACCGCCATCAGAACCCCGTTCAAGGTCAACCCCAAATAGGGATTCTGAACCGGATGACCCTGACCTAGCCATGGTTCCTGCAGTTATGTCCACAGTTCGCACATCCACACCTCAACGAGCAGCCCAAACACGACCATCATCACCCCCGAGTGGTCCGATCGTGTCAGAACCGACATCATCCGAAGCTTCCCCAGCCATTCAGTTTCCTTCACAGGGATCGCAATTACCTGACCCGATGACTAACGTACCCGCTGCGGCATTTATAGCTGGAGCTGCGGTGCAGCAAGCTCATCGAGCATCCGACCTCGCTGCTCAGGCAGCCAATCACGCCTTGCACCAACAGCAGGCCGCCGATCAGGCGAGACAAGAGGCCGGATGGATCAGGGAAAGGGCTGTAAGAGAAGTTTCAGACGTTAGGGTTCAGGCCGCTCAGCTAGCTTCGCAAGCACAGCAGGCTGTACAAACAGCGCAACAAAGTGAGGCTCAGGCTAGGCAACTAATCGAGCAGACACGACAGGAAGCCATTGGCCATGTCGAGAACGCACGACAGGTTGTTAATGCCACTCAA